AATATTCTCATTACAACCTGCTTCTTACCTTTTAAAACCTTTAGTGTCCACAGAAAAGACCAATCATAAGTTAAAAAACTTATCAAGACTAGTAGCCTGATTCAAATTATTATTTTTAAGATGAGCCAATTATTTTAAGAGATAAGCCTGATACAAATGCTGTCTTTTCACCCCATTTCTTTTCCCCAAATTCCAGCTTCTTAGGTGAGCTGGGTTTTGCACCATGTTGTAATGGACTTACCACACTCTTTTTTAAAAATATGTTTTTATTGATTTCAGAGAGAGAGAGAGAGAGGGAGGGAGGAAGAGAAAGGGATAGAGAGCTATATACATCAGTGGGCTGCTTCCTGCTGCCCCCTGCTAGGGATCAAGCCCCCAACCCCAGGGAATGTGCCCTGATGGAGAATCCAAACATGGCTCATAAGTCGATGCTCAATAACTGAGCCACAGTGATTGGCTAACTTATCCCACTCTTAAATGATAGTAGATCCAACCTGGTGCATGAACAAGATGTAGTTAGATTCAAAGCTGATTATGAGGTTGTTATGAGATTGATGGGTTTTATTCACCCAAGTAAAAATTAAGTTGTCACTGCAAAGGATGCTTGCTTGCTTTGGGTTATATTTTTTCCTTTTCCAGAGTGTTGGTTCCCAGCCTTTCAACTGAGATTCTTGGAATTTGCCTCTTAATTTGGAATATAGTTAAGTGAATGTGTTGGCTGTTCAATGTTAGGTGTTGAAATAGTGGGTCTCATTGTTATTCTGATTTCAATTTGATTTCATTTGTGATTAATTCTGCAAATCTGATCAATATGTGGACCAATCATTATTCTCACACTGTTCCTTAAACTGTTATTATTGATAATATTATTACTTTATGAAACAGTTGAATCCTATGCTTCAGCTTCTAAAATCTGAAGAGAATGTTATTTTTCTTGAATGAGACTCACATTCTATTGTCTTGCTTTTATGATACTAATTTGGACTTACAGATTTTGTTGTTTTTTGTTTTTTAAATTTCTTTTTGATTAAGGTATTTTGCAGTTAGGTTTTTCCTTTTATTGTTTATTATTTTTAAAAAAATGTCTATTTTTAAAAGTATTATATACATCTTCTTTTCTCCCCAGCTGTCCCTACCTCCCAGCACATACTGTCCTACCCTCCCCCCACCATCTGTGTCCATTGGTTATGCTTATATGTATGCATATAAGTCCTTTGGTTGATCTCTACCCCTCACCTTCCTTCCTCCCCTCATAGGTTGGACAGTCTGTTCAATGCTTCAGTGACTCTGGTTCTGTCTTTGCTCATCAATTTATGTTGTTCATTATATTCCACATATGAGTGAGATCATGTGATATTTATCTTTCTCTGACTGACTTATTTCACTTAGCATAATGCTCTCCAGGTCCATCCATGCTGTTGCAAATGGTAAGAATTCCTTCTCTTTTTTTTTTATAGCAGCGTAGTATTCCATTGTGTAGATGTACAACAGTTTTCTAACCCACTCATCTGCTGATGTGTGCTTAGGCTATTTCCAAATCTTATCTATTGTAAATTGTGCTGCTATGAACATAGGGGTGCATATATCCTTTCTGATTGGTGTTTCTGGTTTCTTGGAATATAGTCCTATAAGTGGGATTACTGGGTCAAATGGAAATTCCATTTTTAGTTTTTTGAGGAAATTCCATACTGTTTTCCACAGTGGCTGCACCAGTCTACATTCCGACCAGCAGTGTATGAGGGTTCCTTTTTCTCTGCATCCTCTCCGGCACTTGTAGTTTGTTGATTTGTTGATGATAGCCATTCTGACAGGTGTGGAATCATATGTCTCTTGGCTTTCTGTATGTCCTCTTTTGAAAACTGTCTATTTAGGACCTTTGCCCATTTTTTGATTCGATTGTTTATCTTCCTTTTATTAAATTCCCTATAAATTTTGGCGATTAAGCCCTTATCGGAGATAACATTGGCAAATATGTTTTACCATGCAGTGGGCTTTCTTGATGTTTTATTGATGATTTCTTTTGCTGTGCAGAAGCTTTTTATTTTGATGTAGTTTCATTTGTTTATTTTCTCAGTTTCCATTGCCTTAGGAGCTATATCAGTAAAGATATTGCTATGACAGATGTCTGCTATTTTGCTGCCCATGGCTTCTAAGATTTTTATAGTTTCCCGTCTTATATTTAAGTCCTTTATCCTTTTTGAGTTTAGTTTTGTGAATGGTATAAGTTGGTGTTCTAATTTTTTGCATGTATCTGTCCAATTTTCCTAAAATCATTTATTGAAGAGTCTGTCTTGACTCCATTGTATGCTCTTGCCTCCTTTGTCAAATATTAATTGAGCATAATGGCTTAGGACTATTGTGGGTTCTCTATTCTGTTCCATTGGTCTCTATGTCTATTTTTGTGCCAGTACCATGCAATTTTGAGAACAGTGGCTTTGTAGTATAGCTTGATATCTGCTATTGTGATCCCTCCAACTTTGTTCTTCTTTCTCAGGATTGCTGTGGCTATTCTGGGTCTTTTTTTTCTTTTTTTTATTCCAGAAAAATATTTGGAGACTTTGTTTTACATCTTTTGAAATATGCCATTGATATTTTAATGGGGATTGCATTGAATCTATAGATTGCTTTGGGTGGACATTTTAATGATGTTGATTATGCCAATCCATGAACATGATATATTCTTCCATTTGTTTATGTCTTCCTCTATCTCTTTTTTTCAGCATCCTGTAATTTTCTGAGTATAGGTCGTTTATTTCCTTGGTTAAATTTATTCCTAAGTATCTTAATTTTTTTTGTTGTAATGGTAAATTGTTTTTCCTTTTAAATATCATATTTAATGCTATACCACAAAAGACTTTTCTCACATTAAAAGGAGAATATTCTGCAGGTTAGAAGACTATTCAGAAGAATGTACTGGCCCTTTAGCTTTGAAGCTATAATATATTACCAAAAGAAGATAGGTGAAGGACCCTCTGTTTCTTTATATTTTAAAGTATAGATAAAATGATTTTTGTGTAGTTATATGAAGGTGAAACCCAACTCACATGCTCTTAGAGTTTGTGATTACTTTTGCAAATTAAGTGGAATCCTAAATAAGTACTAGGGAAACTAACTCACTCATGGAAAATTTTCCCAAGAGAAAATCTGAATATAAATGTCTACCTGAATGCATATTTAATAGGATTTAGGTTTACTGAGCTTACAGATATTGACAAATGGTGAGAGCATAAACCAAAGGATGCTGAAGAAATACCGGAAAGAGAAATGGTTTCCCCAAGTTTCACAGTGAGTCAATGGTAGAGTTATGAGGAGGATTCAGGGGTCTGGATTCTAGGATTTTCTTGGTATCACATCAGATTTCCTATGTTCTAGAAGAGAGTCATTGGCACCTCTTTTTAAAAAGCCTACGATTATTTCTCTATGTTTTTTAGTTGCTTGAGAGATGGGACAATTCTTCTTGTAATAAAGAAGTTTGTTTCAAAATGAGTATCTGGAAAATATAAGTAGTGTTTTGTGAGTATGAGCTGTGGTCTGTGACCTTTGGTTGAACTGTACAGAAGCTAGCGTTTTCTCCTGGACAGAAGGTATAAACCATTTATTCGAGAAATAGAGTATTTGGGAATGAGTGGGACTTTTGAAAATCTGATATATTCTATGTATGTATACCCAGGAGGACTGTGGAGAGAGTCTCAGTAGTAATAATAATAATAATAATAATAATAATAATGAAAATAAAGGTTGTCAACTGAAGTTACAAAGTTAGCCTCATCCCTGCATTCTGGGAGAAAAGGCTGCTCATGGTTCTTGCTCTGCTCTTTGCAACAATTGGAGAGTTAAGGAAGAGAATCTGTAAAGAATCCAGAGCCATGGCCCTGACTGGTTTGGCTCAGTGGCTAGAGCGTCGGCCTGCGGACTCAAGAGTCCCAGGTTCGATTCCAGTCAAGGGCATGTACCTTGGTTGCAGGCACATCCCCAGTAGGAGGTGTGCAAGAGGCAGCTGATTTGATGTTTCTCTCTCATTGATGTTTCTAACTCTCTATTTCTCTCCCTTCCTCTATGTAAAAAAAAAAAAAAAAAGTCAATAAAATATATTTAAAAAAAAGAAAAAAAAAAAGAATCCAGAGCCATAGAAATGTGATTCCCATCCCCTCAAGGAAGTGCAGGAGGGCTGTCACAGTCCTGCTCCACTGCCACCGGCTCTGTCCTTTCTCCTCTGTCTTTCAGTCTTTCTATGTTATTTTCTATCTTCAAAAGGAAAATGAAACCATAGGGAAGGGGAGAGAATAAAAGCATTTTACATTTAGACGTCTTCTTGACTAGGTTGCAAAAGCAATATCTTGGTTTAAGAAAATGTGACAGAAGAATCCTAGAGAGAGGCTTCCAATAGACTTTTCTGTTTTCAGAGTGTGATGGGGAAGTGGTGGCCGACAACCCAGAACAAGTCCAAAGCAGCATTGATATTGGATGCACTTGTGGCATTCCTCTTTCCAATTTTTTTTTTTTTTTTTAGCCCATGGCACAGCAGAGTCATGCTATTAACCTCTAGGCAGGCGTCTTCAAACTACGGCCCACGGGCCACATGCGGCCCGCAGAGGAGTCTGAACCGGCCCGCCAGGTTTTTTGGGCAGTGAGCGCAGCCGAGGTGTTACAGTAGGAATTAGTAGTTCATATAGTCCGGCCCTCCAGCTCTCTGAGGGACCGTGATCTGGCCCCCACTTTAAAAAGTTTGAGGACCCCTGCTAGAGTCAGGATGGCAATAGAGCAGATGGTAAAACAGTGGGTTTTTTGTTTTTGTTTTTATAGCATTGTTTTCTTATTATCTCTAGAGCTTGGTTAATTTCTCTTGAACTTGAAAGATTCTCCGCTGCTGCTTCCTCTTGCTACTGATACTCAACAAGTTTCTAGGCCTCTGATGGGAATTGATTGGCATGAATCTTCCAGATCTTTGTTTGGTTGTGACATGGAAACTGATCTTGTGTATTGTGTTGTTGTATTTCTAGAACTCTATGGCTTTGACGTGCTCATAGATTCTACTCTGAAGCCATGGTTGTTGGAAGTGAATCTCTCTCCTTCTTTGGCTTGGTAAGTAGCCTGTTCTATCCACTAGCAAAGGAGAACCCTCCGGTGAATAGCACTTAAACACAGTTTGTTTATTTTTCATTTTTTGTCATTTCTCTTGGTACTAGAAGATTTCTTTCCTAGTTACTAGATAGAGATGTCTAGAATTTCTAAATTTGGAAGATTTGTTGTATGTTGTCAAAGTCCATTTGACAGCCATGGACCCTATCCTACTAGTCAATTTGTGCTCTATGTTTACTTTCTTACTGGATTTTTAAAGGATGCTTCTTGCATTCATTTTTACATTTTTATCTCCAATTCTCCCTCTTTCTTTAACTTTATAGGTATTCTGCTAAGGCTAAAGAAATACATGTGGTATTATATTTCCTTTATTATAAAGCCTTATACAGACCCAAATCCACATAAACTATAAAGATATAGAGCTGGGCCTGGAGTAGGGTAGATAACAGCTGTCCTTTTGTCCTGGTAATCACCAAAGATTTAAGTCTAAACATTTCCAATCATTTTTAATCTGTCTATTATTCAGAAGAACGAAAGAAACATTTTTTTTTTCATACTAGAGAAGACACTGCTTATATCTGTAGCAACAGCCAGAGTTTCTATTTGCTATATACTTCTCCAAACAACTAAGGAACCCTGGAGATTTATTATATTTCAGAGACCACCCAGCTCCTGCATTTTTAAGGATGAGCAACGTTGGCAACATGCCAAGGAATCAAATGAAGACAGATAGACTACTTTATGGAGTAGGAGCTTGGCTTAAACCCAAGAGTAAGGTGTGGAGCTAGATACTGCAGATGCTTCAGATGTGGTGCTACACTTTGAGCCAGTCAGCTTTTATCAGCTCGCCCAGCACACACCGTGTTAGCGGGACATCAAACGTGTTAGAGGCCCCAGAATGAGTGATCTGGCTCACGGAGAAACACCTCGGCAGCACAGCCATCATGGAGGCACCGCCTCACAGAGGCCTCCAGCTTTCAGTCTGTGCTGTTTCTGTTTCCACGTGGACTTCTGCTGCATCATTTGGTCATATTTTGGTATAATTTGTATTTATTTTGCCCACATTTGCAAGCCTGTAAGCTTAAGAAAATTGACTTAAAAAAAAGTCTAGAGAGAGCCAAAGATTCTTCTCTTGCATGCAAATGTGATTTGACTATTGCATCAGAAAAAAGTAATTTCAGTGGTGGGCACCTCATAAAAAAGTCTAAACCTCTAAAGTCCACAGTGATAATGAAGCAGTATTCTTGATTTGTGCAAAATTTGAATTGCACAAGATCTTCTGGACTGAAAAGATTGCATGTCAGGGAATCAACGCCTTGGTGCTTGGCCTGCCTGTCGGAGGATGAGTTTAACATCAAGCTTTTATTTCTAGTACTTTTGCCAGATTTCTTTTTCTTTTTCTGCAGATTGGATGTGCTTTGTGTTGCTGCTCATCAACATTTGGAAGCTTTGCTATGTTGGGGCCCGTTAGGAGCAGCTATTATGTTAACCTATAAAATTATCGATTGCTCTTTTCTTTCTCTTTTCTGTTAGTGATGCCCCTCTGGACCTAAAGATTAAAGCCAGTATGATTTCAGATATGTTCACTGTTGTAGGTGAGTAGTGGTGTTTTCTGAAATCGCACATAAAAGTTATCCACAGCGTCCATGTTTTCAGGCACATAGGTGTTGCCAATTGGCAGTTCCTAAGCCATGCTGGATGTCTTGTACCAAAAAATTATATTTTCAGGGAAGTGTTTATGTGTTCTGCTCCCCCTGGCTCCATCCTGTCCTGAGGTTGAACCACAACTAGGGCTGAGACCTAATTCCTGGGCACAGGAATTAAGAGCTAAGGAAGAGAATTAAGCAAAGGTCTGGAGAAAGAATATTTTTCTCTGAGCTGGGATAGTGAGACCCACTGAAGAAGCTTTGGTTCAAAGGAGACTGGCTGTATTTCTGCTGGACAGTCCCTGCTGGTGTCAACATGAGTTGCGGCAGTTATAACTGAAGAACTAGTAGTTATAACGGAAGCAGTTCGTGGCAAAAATCCTTTTTTGAGTAGATAAACCCAAACTTTGAAATGGAGATGGGCATTCAGGTGGATAGGTGGTTGGTTTGTTGTTGTTGTTTTTTAAGTACTCTAAAAAAACAAAATAAAATATATTTGAAATGAACTAGCACTTGGTGTACCAGCAAAAGCTATAAAACTTAGGTACTCTGTTCTCCTTGGATGGGAATCTGCTTCCTTTTATGATACAAGTGAAATTAGTCCAAGCCTAATCTTTTAAGCCATGGAAAGGCTACCAAGCTCTTTTTTGTTGTTGATTTTTTAAAATGAATTTATTGGGGTGACATAGGTTAATAAAATCATGTAGATTCGGGGTACAAGTCTATAACACATCATCTGTATGTTGTATTGTGTGTTCACAACCCCAAATCAAGTCTCCTTCCATCACCATTTATCCCCCTGCAAAGCTCATTTTGAAAGTTGCCAGTAGAACACCTTCAGCAGTTCCAGAAGTGGATCCTGCAACTGGACAAGACTCCTCACTTGCTTCTGGATTCTCCCGGTAAAAACATTATTTTCCAGACACCATCCAGGAAGTCACTTTAAAATAATTTGTTTGTATTAACAACTGTGTTTTTTAATGGTGGTTTGCACCTTCATGCTGAAGCTCATCAAAACTGCACACCTCTTTTCCATCAGAGTCATGTTTCAGCTTCCCAGTGAGGAAGGTTGATGTAGCTGTGTATTTTCCTCTCTTGTTCTCTCCAGCTATAGTGGCTCAAAGTTCAAGCAGAATGTGTATGTGGGAGAGTCATGTCTAATCCTCGTGAGAACGGATCTCTGTAATATTCTCATATTTTTTATGATACAGTGAGTGCATCATAAAAAAAGGTGCAGCTCAATCAGCTGATTTCTTAGAAAATGGCAAGTTTTAATGTTTCCCATTCTCCATTCAGGATTTGTGTGCCAAGATCCTACCCAGCGGACATCAACCCGGCCAATTTATCCCACCTTTGAGTCTTCCAGGCGAAACCCTTTCCAAAAATCTCAGGTAAGCAAATTCAGCACCAAGGTGCCCTAAAGAGGCTTCCTAGATATTGGCAGGCGATGTAAATGAGTGAGCCGAGGCTCCATGGATATGAGGTCACTCAGAGCAGAATTCGGGGATATGCTAGACAGGAGGCAGTGTCATTCATCTGTGGCTACTAGCTTATGCTTTCAAACAAGCTTACTGTCTGCTTCTTGCCTTTTCTTTTGGCTTCTTTTTCCATTATCTTTCATCCCCCCCCCCCCTTTTTTTTTTTTTAATTTCCCTCTTTTCCCCCCTCAAATTGATATGCTCACAAATAAGGCACAGAGAGGGAGCCTACAAATTCCTGGTCATTACTGTGCCACATTTTTTCTGATCTTCAGACTAGCTTCATAAAGATGCTCAATTGAAATATCATCAATCCTACAAGTGATTCTATTCAGAAGGATCCTCAGTGGTGGTGAGGTGTTGGCTGAGTTTTCAGTGAGATAAAATGCCTATGGAAACCTGTGCATATCTGAAACGTCATTTGATCAAGCATTGCTTCAGTCCTGGTGTTTGTATTCCAGTTAACCAGTCAGCTAATCATTCTATCTATCCACGCCATCATCTATTCTAAGCAGTCTCTGCCTATCTAGACCTGGCTAGTTTCCACTTGTTTTCTGTTTGTTTATTTTTTGTCTTTAACATTTCTTACCTAAAAGGTCCACATTCCTCCTCTCTTCCCATCTGGATTATCTCACCTGCTCATTTCATATTATTTACTTGTTGTCTGTTGCATTGTTTTGCATTCATTGGTTTGTTGCTTTTAAATTGTCCCGTACTCATCTGCTGGATTGTAAGCTCTCTCAGCTTCTTCTCCCCCTTCTCCTTTCTCTTTCCCCTACCTCCACTGTACCTTCCATTAATCCTTTTTTCCTTCCTTCTCTCACTCCTCTTCCTCCTCTTCCACTTGCTTGCTAGTCTTACTTGGAGTAATGCTGTTTCTCTTTGCTGCATTCATACAGATAACTTTTCATTCGAACGGGATTTGCAAACTCAAATGCCTACAGGGTCTAATGCAGACAGTGGAAATGAGGAAATAGGGCCAGGTATGAGAGAAGTAAGAGTGATGTGACTGCAGGAGACTGGAGAGGGCATGCCTCCTATAAAAAGGAACACCTATTTTACTGTGTGCTCCAGCTAATCGTTGCCATCTACGAGTGTGGGCCAAATGTTGTCAGATTTTCCTACTGTCAAAAGGAATCAGAAATCTTATTTTAGAATATTGGCAACTAGTTCAATTAAAAAAAAAAAAGTATTTGTAGACCAAACGTAACATGCCTACCTGAGACCTCCTGCTGTAAAGAGTGTTGTGACATGGAACAGAGTGTGCTATATTTTAAGGGGAATTTCCTTGGATTACAAGTAAAACCAGATAACAGGGTTGTACTTGATCTGTACATCATCACAGATCAAAGGGTTTTCTTTAATTTTTAATAAGAAAAAGTAGAGGATTAACCTAGGTGTACTAGGAAAACTGAATTTAGACAGTCACATTCCTTTGTAAATGGTTTTCTGCAGTGTCTGTGGCAAGAGCCACAGGATTGTAGGAAGGATTGTGAATGTTTATGTACAGCTTTAACAGAGTTTCTGCCAAGTTTCACTCTAGGGGCCGTATGTCAATCCTGTATGAATTGTTCTTTTTCTTAGTTTGTCTTTCAACTTCTATTGGTGACTCTTTGCAAATCATAGAGAATTTGTCACCATTTGTTTTGCTACCTGGTAGATAATGGCCTGATCTCATCCATAAGCAGCCCACAGGACACTTATTAAAGACTAAAGAAACTATAGACTAGGGTATGTTTTGTACCCTGTGTGAAACACAATTATCAGGATGGGGAATTAACTTCAGAACTTCAGCACATGACAGCAGGATTTTGACTTCAGTGGTGAGAAGGTGAAATTGGAATAGCTATACGGTAGAGAAAGCAATGTGAAAAATATTGTTCTCATTTTCCAGGCACAGAGTGTAGGTCTCTTGCTTTTGGTTTTAGAATGGAGATCATCTTTTTGTTTTTTTAAAACATAGACTAGGAGTTGAAAAATATAGGCATGTTAGGAGAAGATAAGGCTTTATTCTATTTTTCTGTCTTTTATGCATATAATATCTGCACAATTTCAATCATCAAACACTAAATAGGTAAGTTCTGGATCATTTGGAGACTTCATTCAAATTTTCATCTCCATTTGCCAAACGGAAAGCCTTTTAGCTTTACTTTTTCATAGTACATATTTTATGCATCTACTTTTTGAACAGTTTAATAATATAAAATAGAATATGTGAAAATGAATGCACAGAGGTCTTTTGGATATAGAATTTAGGAGTAGAGGTTGCAGGAATGTATGAATCCTCTTTTCCTGATAGTGATTATGCTGTGATGGAGGCAGTTGAATTTAAATGATGAACAGTGTTTAGAGGCATATTTATCACTTTAATTAAACTATTCCAGAAAGGAAATATCATAATTCACAGATAACCTTTCTTTTGTTCAGTCATCTTCTGAAATATACTAGAGGCCCGGTGCAAGAAATTCATGCATGGTAGGTAGGGTCCCTAAGCCTGGCTGGCGATCAGGGCCAATCCGGGCCTTCCAGCTGTGGGCTGGGGCTTCCCTTCCCCAGTTGCTGGCGGCTGGCCAGGGCCTTCCTTAGTTCTGTGCTGCCCCCTAGTGGTTAGTGCACATCATAGCAAGCGATCGAACTCCAGGTAGAACTCCTGAGGGGATAATTTGCATATTAGGCTTTTATATATATAGGGATAGATTGTTGTCAGAATATTGGGATGTGTTTGAGTTTCTCAACAGTTATTAGGCTTCAACATATGAATTTGAAGGGACACAAAATTCAGTCCATAACAGTGAGTATTGCTAAAAAGGTCAAAAGTTAGTTACCAAAATGCCTTTTCATAGATAGTCTACACAAAGAGAAAAATAAATGCAGGAATAGCTTCTGACAAACGGGATTTTTCTCTTTGGACAAAGTTACTTCTATGAATTCTGAAAGCCAATTTACACCCACATTTCTTGAATTATTTCATATTTTCCCTACTTGGCAGATTTGTCTTATGTCTTTTCATCTGTTTCAATAATCTATTCTCATGCTTTATACCAGGCGTCCTCAAACTTTTTAAAGTGGGGGCCAGATCACGGTCCCTCAGAGAGCTGGAGGGCCTGACTATATGAACTACTAATTCCTACTGTAACACCTCGGCTGCGCTCACTGCCCAAAAAACCTGGCGGGCCGGATCAGACTCCTCTGCGGGCCGCATGTGGTCTGCGGGCCGTAGTTTGAAGACGCCTGCATACCATCTGACTTCCCATTTTATATTTTTCTGTTCACTTAACATCAAAGTCACTTAAAACTTTTGTTCTCAGATGACATTCCTAGTCATCTTTCAGAAGGGGAAATAGTACAGATCATTTTGGGGGTCTGTGGTGAGCATGGCACATTTACTTGCTCTTGCAGAATGCTCAGAGCAGTCGTCCAGGATTGAGGTCTCTCAAAGTCCAGCAACCTGAGTATTCCTCAAGTTGTACTCTTTCTGTCATAGTTCTTTTATGAGTCTTTCATGGCTCTAATCTCATTATTTTCCCCTTTAAGTGCTAAAGCATCCCACCTACCCAGTTTTTTCATCTGTGACATTTGTTCCTTGGTTTCCTGTCTTATGTCTCAGTTCTAATTCTTTTTCCCCAGTGCTGAAAAGAGTATAGTTACTGAAATAAATGCACACTTAATTTTATACTGAGATTTTCCCCAAACTTTTTCCATATTCTTGAAAATATTAAATGTATTCTAAAACAAGATTAGGAGTACTAGCTTAGAAAGATACATGCACATCCTTTTTTTCCTACTTATCTCTCCTAACCCATAGTATTTTCCTATTCTTCTGTTTTCTCTTCTTGCCTTTGAGTGTACTAGCTTTCATCTCTTTCCCAGGGTTTGAAAATGGGCTTTGGATTTGAGCTTACACATATTCGGAAAGATAATGATGTTGAGGAACTGAATAGAGGGAAATGAAGAAAGGTAATGTTTTTTTCGTTTGCTTTTGTTTTTCTTTTTAGCGTTCTCGTCCACTCTCTGCCAGTGATGCAGAGATGAAAAACCTTGTGGGCTCAGCCCGGGAGAAGGTGCCGGCGAAACTAGGTGGTTCTGTGCTTGGTCTGTCAATGGAGGAGGTGAGATAACTCTGTTTCAGGCTTTTGTGGTTCAGAGAAAATTAGTGAGTTACTCATAATATTCATTACCAGCTCCTATCTTATATTGAAAAATATAAGATTCAAGAAGGGGGGATCCCCTCCCCCCAAGAAAACAGCATCTTAAATGTAATTAATTTCTCCCTCATGCTTCTTTCATATTCTTGGATCATAACTCCTTTCTTCTGTCTTATAACCACATGAATTCCAGTTTTCAAAATAGATAGTAATTTTATTTTATTTTCCTCCATGTAGATCAGAGTTTTGCGGAGGGTGAAGGAAGAGAATGATCGGAGAGGTGGATTTATTCGGATATTCCCTACATCAGAGACATGGGAAATATACGGGTGAGGTGACTGCCCATTAAAAAAAAAAATCTATATCTTAAGTCCACACAATTGGATTAATTGTGACACAGTGTCATCATTGCTCCCCTCATGGTGCTTTTCTTATTTTGTTTGTTTATTTATAAGAGTATGAATACCATCAGCCCAAACATTAGAGCATTAAAATAATTTAATCTACGTGTGCATTACTCCTCTTTTTTTTTCTTTTTTTCTTTTTTTTAAATCCCCTGCCTCTCTCCTAACTCAGGATTGGACACTCATAGGTTTTGTGCTTATCATTACCTTGATTTGGAAAAAAAAAATGTTTTATCATCTATATGTGTGCCTAAGAAATATATTGTTTATTTTTAGTCATTGAGATCTGTATACATGCAATAAAATGCATCCATTTTAAGTGTGCAGTTTGACAATCAATTTTAACAAATATAAACACAAGTTAAACCACTGCCATTACCACAATCAAGATATAGAACATTTCTGTCACTTCCAGAAGTTCCCTCTACCTCTTAATAGTCAGTCCCCCATTACCTCCATTCTCAGACCTCTGCCGATCTGCTGTATGTCGCTCTAGTTTTTCTAGAATTTCATATTAATGGAATCATACAGTATGTGCTCTTTGGTGTCAGGATGCTTTTGTTTGGTGCAGATTTTTGAGATTTATTCATGTTGTTGTTTAAAGTAATAGTAATAGTTATGTCTTTTTTTATTGTTATGTACTGTTTCAATATATGAATATACCACAATTTGTTTATCCTTTGAGCTGTTCTAGAGCATTTGGGTTGTATCCATTTTGGGGTTATTATGGAGAAAGCTGCTATGATATTCATGTACAAGTCCCTTTATGGATGTATGGTTATGTTTCTTTTAGATAAATACATAGGAATGGAATACTAGGTAGGTCGTTCGATAAGGGATAAAGAGTAATAGTACCATTATACCAGTATAAATGTATGTTTAAATAACAGTATAAATCTAGTGATTCCCATCTTTGCTAGCACTTGTTATTGTCAGACTTTTAGGCATTCTAGTAGTAGCATATCTCTATGGTTTTAACTTGTTCTTTTATGGATAATGATATTGAGCATTCATATTCTGTTGACCATTTGTGTATCTTATTTTTCTGTTTTAAAATTAGGATTTTTATCTCTTTTTAAAATATATATTTATTTCAGAGAGGAAGGGAGAGGGGGAGAGCGATAGAGGCATCAATGATGACAGAATCATTGATCAGCTGCCTCCTGCATATCCCCACTGGAGATCGAGACCACAACCTGAGCATGTGCCTTTGACCAGAACCTAACCCGGGGTCCTTCAGTTTCCAGGCTGACGCTCTATCCCCTGAGCCAAACTAGCTAGGGTGGATTTTTATCTTTTTGTTACTGTGTTATGAAGGACTTTTGATACAAGCCCTTTCTCAGATATTTATATTGTGAATATTTTCTTCAATTCTGTGGCTAGCTTTTTTGCTTTTGTAACAATGGCTTTTAAAGAACAGAAAGTTTTAAATTTCAGTGAAGTCCTGTTGTTCAAATTTTTATTAATACATATTTATTGAGTATTAACCAAGTATTAATATTTGCCTGTTACTTTGGGAATATAAAACAAATATTATATGGGAACCCTGCTCTTTGAGAAATGACAGTAAGATTATGGAGAAATTCTGTGTGTGTGTGTGTGTGTGTGTGTGTGTGTGTGTGTGTATATATATATATATATATATATATAACAAAAAATAGCTCAGATTTTTGTAGCTCTATGTAATTATGATGTACTTAAGCACATCATTGTTTTTTCTCATTTTAATGATGAGGCAAGTGAGGCTCAGTAAAGTAATGTGACTTGTTTGTGATCTCACAGTGGGCCTTGATTCAGGGATTCTGACTCCAGATTCTACTTTGTCCTACTTCGTCATGCTGCTTTCCGAGAAGAACAACCTTACTCTCTGAGACAGCAGATGACAGGTCCCTCAGATATACATTAAAGGGCAGGGTAGTTCAGACAAAGGCACCTCTGTAGTCATATCAAGAAGGCTCCCTGCAGCAGGGTGGACTTGAGTTACTTGTGGAGGATAGGTTATGAATTTTTCCAGACAGAGGCAAAAGGATCAGTGGGAGGTGTGGTGTGAGAGGATCTTGAGGAGACTTGCCTGGCTCTACTGCAGGATCCATGTTGGGGAACTGTGTGGACAAAGTGTGGTATAGATTATCCAACTTTTGAAAACTTGGAAGAGTAAGTGTATGCCTCCAGCAATAGGCATCAAGGAGCTATTGAAAACTCTTGAGCAATTTCTTGATTGAAACAATCTTCCATCCACATTTTCATGTTTTTGTTTCCCCCATTTCCAACTTCATTTGACTTTTTCCCTCAGCTAGATACGATTTTTTTTTATGGGGGTTTTGTTTTCATTTTCATTTTTTTCTGAATTTAGTATATCACCTTTAGTAACCCCAAAAATCCTGCATTTATTTCTTATTTTCTAGACTAAGCCCTCTATTCCTTTTATTGTATTTGCTGCTACTCTAGTATTTTATCATTTAAAAAATATTTTTGTTGATTTCAGAGAGGAAGGGAGAGGGAGAGAGAGATAGAAACATTAATGATGAGAGAGAATAATTGATCAGTTGCCTCCTGCACAGCCCACATTGGGAATCAAGCCTGCCACCCAGGCATGTGCCTGACTGGGAATTGAACCATGACCTCCTGGTTCGTAAGTCGACTCTCAACACTGCGCCATGCAGTCTGGGCTATTTTATTGCTTTATTTGAGCAACTGCCGCCTCCTTTGCCGCTTTAGAAACAGTACATTAGTAACCTGCTACTTCTGTACTTGATTCCTGGTTTTATTTCTATATTTTCTATTTTCAATAAGTTTAATAAATAACCAGTTTCTTTCTTTGTCTTTCAGGTCCTACCTTGAACACAAAACATCCATGAACTATATGCTGGCAACACGTCTCTTCCCGGACAGGTGGGGATTTGCTATTTTTATAAATTTGGTAGGACCAGATCACAAAATTAGGGAATAGAACATACAGTGAAAGGCAAAAAAAAAAAGCTCTATAAAAGTCTTTGTATAAAAAGCTTTGGTAGAAAGAGCCTTGCAGAAAATACAATATAATAGCTCATTTTTCCAGAATTCATTCATTCTCAGCACTTTGTAACATTTTCAGAGGTTATTTTAACAATGTTAAAATAACCAAGCTGCCTTTATGTAAAGTGAGGAATATGTGCTTATCTTCTAACAAATATGCCTTTTTGCTAAGCTATTAACCAAATATCTAGCACTTCGGTGTTTTGGAATATAAAACAAATATTAGATGGGATTAAGCATAAAGATCTGTAAATTTTAAAGATCTTTTTATTTTAAAAGTTAAACAATAAAGATCTTTAAACAAACTTAACAGATGCCCTAAACTTCATTCTTTTTAAAGGAAGGCCCTTATTCAGAGCCTTTTTACTTTTAGACACAATTTTAGCAGACATGATCATCTGTTTTTCCAGACCAGAAGAGATTAGAATGATCAGATTAGAAAAGGTGGAGGGGAGGTAATTCACAAAATAAATACACTGAGAATTGTAAGAAATGACAACTGATAACCTTAATACAAGAGAAAATAGGGGGAAATGATGGAAAACAGACTTTGGAATTCAAATAGCATAGCAATCAGAGACCGCTCAGTCCCACATATTTTTCTTGCCCCTGAGACATAGCTGCATTATAGTGCAGTTCAGTAATTGACTATCAAAATAAGGTATTTTAGTTATTTAGAGAAACCTATATTCAATTCAGGATACGTGTCCTTTTTGCAGGACTTTTTTTTTCAATCCTCACCCAAGGACATTTTTCCATTGATTTTTAGGGAAAGTGGGAGAGAGAGAGAAACATTGATGTGAGAGAAACACATTGATTGGTTTGCAGGATTCTTAAACTATTATAGATACCCAGATTTCAACTGTTTCTTGCAATTTCATGATCTGTTGTCAGAAAATATATGGGATTTGCAATTTCTCTGTATAACTTTATGGCACATGTGTCAAACACAAGGCCCGCGGGCCAAATCCGTCCCGCCAGGCCTTGCAATGTGGCCCGCACTGCGCTGTCATCACTGCACTCCGCTGCGTTTCCATCACAATGACAGTTTATGACTGTTCAGTAAACCATTCGGCCAGCGATTTAGGCTGGATTTTAGATTTTGGCCCCTTCTCTGATTGAGTTCGACACCCCTACTTTATGGTTATTACCATTGATGAACTAATTACACTGTGCAACTTCTAATGAAAGAAATCTTCAGATTTACTTAGCAAACATAGAAGCTTGATTTTTATGAGGTTCCCCTGTCTTTACAGTTCATATGTGTTACTTTTCATTACTTTGGTTTTTAGTGGATGAGTGTGTTCAGTCTGAAGATTTTAAGTCTTTCAACTGTAGGAAATATACTTGTACCTCTCATCCTGCCTTTTCTTTCCCTGTGGAACTTTTGTTAGGTGAATTTTGGATCTTTTGATTTTCCTCCATAGTTCTTTACTTTTTTTTTTCATAATTTTGATCTCATTATCTCTTAGATTTAAATTCTGGGAGACTTCTTGAACTTTGTCTTCTAAAATTCTAAATAAATCTAAACTCTAACAACTTTAGCCTTATCTGTTTTGTTATTTAAGACCAGCACAGAAGAGGGTTGTTTACATTTTTTTTAATTTGGCAAATATGATTTTAATATCAAATAATTATTTTTGCTTTCTGACTAGTTTTCGTAGTTTATGGATATAATATCTTTTCACATCTCTTTGACTTTTTCTTTTAAAGAGTAGTTTATTGATTTTTATAGAAAGAGTAAGGGAGGGAGAGAGAGAAAGAATCATCGATGGGAGAGTGCGCCATTGATTGGTTGCCTCCTGCATGCCCCTTTATAGGGATCAAGTCAGCAGACTGGGCATGTGCCTTGACTTTGAATCTAATTGGCAACTTCCTTGTGCATAAGATTATGCCCAACCAACTGAGCCACACTAGCCAGGGCTCTTTGATATTCTTAGTTTGTTTAGTGTTCTTTTCTGTTTGTATTATATTTAATTCTTCTGGATTAGTTCTGTTTGTTCATGTCATTCTTTCTAGTTTATACCGTTGTATTTCCTTATATTTGATAATCTTTGATTTCCAGTCATATTTATAAGTAATGGACTGTTCGTTTAGGATAAGCAGGCTACATGAGCTTCCTCACAGGTTGTATTTCTGAACTGATGTGGACTCTGGGCTTGTATCTAGGTCCTTCCATATTTGGGCTTCCCATGAGGGAGGAGGAGAGCAGAGCACCACAACAGCCAAAATTAGGAAACATTCTGCTAGGGGTAGCATAAAATTAAAAAATTTGAAATGTAACATGTGCTTTTTAATTAACACATTAACCACCATAATTTCAAAACTATGGTAAGTGTTGGCAATATTTTGAGATACCTCTTAACAACTCTAAAGTAATAAGAAAAAAGATGTTACTTCTTTAGGTAATGAAATCACAGTAATACCACTGAGGATGGTTTCATGCATGTATATGAAGGTAATGCTAAGTTTCAGTTAATATTTTTTCTATCTACTCCCTGAATTCTTTCTTGAAGCCCCAGTTAACATTCTGCATTCTAAAAACTTGGATTAAAAAAACCTCTGAATTTTCCAGTTTAGCAAAGAAAGGCCCTCATGATCTACTCTTGACAGCCTTTTCAGTCTAATCTTCACTTCTCCACACAACCCATGGCCAACGAGACCACATCTGCATGCTTTTTTATGCCTCCTTATATTTTCATACTCATTGTACCTCAGAATGACCTTTAGTCCATCCCTAACTTCTTTTTCTATGTTCTTCATCCTCTTTCCCAGACCAGGAGAAGTTCTTTATCCCTCAGTCTGATTTAAATTCCCATTTCTATAATAATAAAGCATAATATGCTAATTAGACCATACAGTCAAACCACCTTCCAGACGTCATTCTGGACGAAGCCGCAGCACCAGGGGCCGAGGCAGAGGCAGTTAGGGGTGATCAGTTAGGGCGGGCAGGTGAGTGGTAAGAGGCGATTAGGAAGGGAGGCAGGCAGGAGAGCGGTCAGGAGCCAGTGGTCCCAGATTGTGAGAGGTATGTGTGACTGTTGGTTTAGGCCAGAACCCCTGAGGCAGTCAGACATCCCCCGAGGGGTCCTGGATTTCGAGAGGGTGCAGGCGGAGCTCACACACACACACACACACACACTTATGAATGAGTTTTTTGCACTGGGCCTCTAGTTATATTATAATTGCTTGTTTTCTAACTAGTCTGTCTACTTTATAAGTTGACTTTTATGAGTAAGTACTTTGTTATGTTCATCTTTTGTCAGTATCAAGAATCTACTCCACATACAAAAACATGCTTTGGAAAAAATTGAAGAATTGAAATTGTATTTATTGCAAGCCCTAACATCTTCCAATAAGTCTCTTCTCTCTTATTTGAATTGATGTTTTTCCTCTTGCAGATTCTATTGTATTACTGTCAGAACTACTTTCATACTAATTCTCTAATCATTTCTTATAGGTTAATTTTGTCGCTTTCTTGCCCTCTACTCCTACCTCACCTACCCACCCTGCCTTGCAAACAGTATCTTAAATACTTTCATACATTATGATAGTATTTTTAACCCTTTCATATTAATAACACCTGTGTTTATCTCCTGGCCCTACCCGAAAACTCTGAAGTACTAGTATTTACTGAAAAACTGCATAGTGATGGTAATATGAAGCAATGATTGCAAATTGTGGGGAAAAAAACATTATATGATGGGAAAGTTAAAATAATCTTGAGACTTTCTGATGACAGTAAGACAATATGAGGACATTAGCTTGAATAGAAGACATGGGAAGGAAAAGACAACATTTTGGTGAAGACAAACTTTTCGCTTGATTTTTTATAGATAGAAAATCTTGATATTGATTGCATTTGTGTCTTAAAAACCCATACAATATCAAAGATTACACATTGTGTAATTCCATTTATATAACATTTTGAAATGATATAATTTTAGAATAGAGAACAGATTAAAGGGAGGTAAGCAGTGTCTTGTCATGAAAGAGTAACACGGGATCTTTAAGGTAATGGAATCGTTCAGTATCTTACCTGGCAAATGGGTACATGAACTTGCACAGTGATAAAATTGTATTAAGCTACATATACACATTCACAAATGAGTACAAGTAAAACGGGAAATTTAAGAAAAGAGTGTTAGGTGAAAGGAAATTGAATGAGGAGAAAAATCTTTTAAAGGAAAAAACAAAAGTTTAATATGAATGGCATTCACCTCCTTTGGTTAGAGCCCAACAAGTGATGGAGAGCATCATTTGTGGAAAATCTCTTTCTCTTGATCAGCTCTTTGGACCTCATAGAAATGGAGATTGGTTTCTTTTCTTAATACAGTTCAGTTATAACGAGTCCTGGAGTGTGAAACCTAAGCCCTGGGTTCAAAGTTAAGCCTATTAAACTCTGACCTAGGGCATGTCATAAAATGGTCTTTTTAGAAATGGGGCTAATAACCTTCTGCACATGATTGTTGTGAAGAATAATGTGACTTGACTTGTGACTAGATATACACCTGTAAGTAATTGTTAGGATTTTTCTCTAGAATTCATTTGTTCTATCCCTTTTGTTTTTTTATCCTCCCTCAAGCTCCGGGTACTCTGTTCTTTTCTGGGCATGTTCTCAGTCATCTCTCTGCTCCCTCAACATGTCTTCCCTGGCATAATTTCATGTTGAATCTCTACAATAAAAAAATTTCAAGTGTGTGTGTGTGTGTGTGAACTCAGAATATCCGCAGCGTGTTCTAACCCACTTGTCCTTTCTACTTTTGCAGGGGAAACCCAAGAAGAAGCATATTGACAGGAAGAACACGGTAACTGATTTTTAAAAGTTGAGCAATTTTTTCCATGTGTGTAATATGTGATCATGCACAGACTAAATATGCATGATACTTCATATAACCATTTTCAATTTGGCTCAGCTTGAGTAACATGAAAATGTTTTCTATCGAAACATTCTGTAGCAATTTTTTACAAACTAAGTTTGAGATTTATGTGCTTGCTTATAACTACAGGTATATCATTCAACTGATAATAATATTCTTCTTTGGCTATGTAAGAGAGACCAAAATATCAATGAGATTTCAAGACTATTCCTGCTAGATTCAAATAAGAGGTTAAGTTTTGTCTTTGACATACCTGGGCATACAGCTCTGAGCCTTATGGGACTGAATAGAACTACTTCCAATTTGCCATGAAAGTAAAAATATGCATGATACCCATGGCTGCTCACTTTGGTAAGAAAGGTCTTACAGGAAGAGCTGAGGATGGCCTTATCCAACTGAAGACTCCAATTACAGTAAAACTCTTCAACCTAAACTCACACCCTCTGGTTTCAGACATCACATACATCCCCTTTGCTTTATATATTTTTAAAAAGCAAAATGAGAACAATAAGAAACATTCTGTATCAGTGCTCACCAACCTTTTGGACCTCATGGACCACGAGTGGTCCACAGATCATAGGTTGGCAACCGCTGTTCTATATCTAGCATTTGGTTCTACATTTAAGAATGAAGGTAAACTTGGTCTCTCACTCAAATCTTTTAAAGCATAAGTCTAATTTTTTATTTTTAAGGGAAAACTGCCTATCTGGCATGGTTCAGTGGTTGGACCAGGAGGTCATGGTTCCATTCCTGGTCAGGGCACTAGCCTGGGTTTTGGGCTAGATCCCCAGTGTGGGGCATACAGGAGGTAGCTGATCAATGATTCTCATTATTGATGTTTCTATCTCCCCTTCTCTGAAATCAATAAAAACATATTTTTCAAAAGGAAAACTAATGATTGCCATTTAATTAAAGGAAAACAATTCAAGTTTGTAGTTTATTTCTAAATAAAAGTCATACTTAGTTTGTAAGTTTTTTCCAGTTTTCAGTCAAGGAATATGCTTCCTAGAGTATATGCTATCAATTTTGAAATTAGAAAAATAACAACAAAACAAAACAAAAAAGAACAAAAGATAAAATCTTAAACAACGAGAATATTTAAAAATCAGTGAGTTCTGCCCTTTGTCCATTTTTTGCCACTCATTTTATATGGCTTGGCCATCATTAGGGTTTTCTATGTGATATAGAGGCATAAGCAAATGAAAGGTGGTGTTAGAGACCCTATGTTGTAGCATGAAACAAATCCGAATATACTTAAAAGGATTAAAGGCAGATAGAGTATGTTCCTGGACCACAAGGAGATTAGATACCAGTAACAATAGAAAAAAAAAATCTCCAAATATTTAGGAATTAACATATTTCTCCTGGTTCATAGGTTGACACTCAACCACTGAACCGCAAATAGCCAGGCTAGATGCATAATTTCTTAAAAGAATATTAACAAATAGAATCCCTTTGTATGTAAAAAGGCTAATGCATAGGACTAAAGTGAGACTTTAAAATATCAGATTTGTTCTGTTTTCTTTATTAATTACTTGCCTAAAACGTCTATTTTCACAAATATATGTATGTGTATACAAGGGAGGGTGGAACAGTGTTCAGTTGGGACTATCATTTTTAAATTTTGCTTCCCGTTTCTGCCCTTGATGTCAGGACCTTCCCTGTTCTTGACTCAATTTTCTCCTCTAAAGAGGAGGCTTCCAAAAGATTTACTATTCTTTTCATCCACCCAGAAATCTCTCCAAGTCCTAAAAGACACAGCCTTTTCATCGAGCTCAGAGACCAAAAGCTTCCAAAGGAATGAAGATGATTCTTTGACCTCAGAGAGAATCCACTTTGATTTTTAGAGAGTTAAAGAGGGCAAGTTCAAAGCTGCCTGCCTTCAGACACTAACACGGAGAATTCTTTTCTGGCCCAATGACCAAGAACCCTTTTTCTCTTTAGTTATCCCTGCTACCTTGTACTTTACTTGGTCCTTGTCTGGATTGGATCTGATACCTGTCACTTCTTTAATTTGTGATTTATTTTAATGCCTATTGTAGCTGCTGTGGTCTTCATTCCACATCCCATTTCCCACTCATGAGCTGATTGAATTTGGCCTTGTCCTGCATCTGTGTCTGCCCTTCTCTGTGCCTCTGACTAACTTCTGACCTGTACTCAACACCTGAAGTGCCCCTGCCCCTTCTCCCCACCTACTCCCTTAATGAAATAGGTCCTAAGGGAGGAGCTCCTCACGTAGGAATGCTTGAGACTTGGAGTGTCGTAAGGTCCTGGTGACTTTACCAAGATCCTTCCCCTGCGAGTCTCAGTCAGCTCTGTGCTACCATATTCATAAATATCAGCTATCCCTCCCCCATCTCACCTCTGCTATATTTATTGAATATGATGTAGTCAAAACAATATTTGTATAATTCTAAGTTACAATGACTAACAAAATAAACACCTCTAGCCACCACCTAGCCTGAGAGTTAAAATGTTACCAGTATCTCCCAGTCGTTTTTAAGGTATAAAGTATTGGGTAGCATTTTCTGATCTCTGCAATAAATAGCCAGTATTACTGAATATCTAAAAATACTTAAACATTATCTTCAGATATATTTTTGTTCAGAATATTTAAAAAATTCAGACAGGCCATTAGGGAAGTTTTAATGTAGATTTCAGCATTTCAATTCATCTGTCAGACCTTTTAGAATTCATTAGAGTTACTTACCAAGTGTGCCCAGTCTATCACCATTACAGATTTCTGTCAAGCTTAGCCTTAGAACAAAGGAGGGAATTTTCTGAAGGCTTTTTTCCCCCATAGAGTAATGACTGATGGTGCACCGGAATTGAAGGTAGAGAGTATGAATTCAAAAGCCAGGCTGCATGCTGCTCTGTATGAGAGGAAGCTCCTGTCTTTGGAAGTGCGAAAACGTAGACGACGCAGTGGGAAATTGAGGTCGAGGACAAAATACCCAGGTATGTGCTGGAGAGCTTTCACCAAAGTCCAGTACCTGGCCCTGCCTGACTCATTTAATCAGCTTCTTACTGCACCATGAACCTGAACCGTCCTGATCACATATACTTAGTTTTTTGGATAGTCCTTTTTCTCTGAAACTGAATTTCAAAATGATTATGTTTTTAAGTCTTCTATAACATTTGTATTGAACATGAGAAGCACACACATTTAGGTTTTTGCTTGTATTTCAGCATCATTTAGTATTATCTGATACTTTAGAAAGTTAATTAGCATTAGCTTAAGTTTAATAGAAGCCTGAGCATTATTGTTCTGTTTTTATCATGATTACATATTAAGTCCTGTTTATTCATTGACATTGTTGAATGCTGTAAATATTTTAAACCCAGACAGACAAAGCGGAACTTCTTTCTCTCCCAGATGCTTCCATATCCATTTGTCACTGACTGACTTTCTTTTTTCCCTCCTCCCCTCATTTGGTAAGCAGCTGGTTTAGGCACATTAGTCCCTGAGGTTTCATTGGTGAATAAAAAAGATTTGGTCCTTGTTACCATAGACCTTCCAAAGCAGTGAAGGAGAAGGATAAAGAATAAACTTAGGAGAGAAAGCTATTCCCTGCTCTTTGTACCTTCATGAAAGGTACCCTTCAGAAACCTCTAACACACTCTAAGACACATGTGTCAAACACAAGGCCCGCGGGCCAAATCTGTCCTGCCAGGCCTTGCATTGTGGCCCGCACCGCGCTGTCATCACTGCACTCCGCTGCGTTTCCATCACAATGACAGTTTATGACTGTTCAGTAAACCATTCGGCCCGTGATTTAGGCTGGATTTTAGATTTTGGCCCCTTCTCTGATTGAGTTCGACACCCCTACTCTAAGAGATTTCTAAGATCTTATTTTGCCTTAAGTTGTGAGAGAATCATTGGTATTATGATGAGAGACATCAACTACTGAAAGTCATTACTAAGCTTTTAGAATATATAAGATTGGAGAGTGATGTATGCATGCTGTTAATTTGTGTGTTAGTTATGGGTTTTTACTAAAAAGATAAAAGGAAGGTATTGGGAGAGAGGAAATTTTAATCCTTTTTTCAGCAACATTAGTGATTCTTCGCATTTAGTGATTACTCAACAAGCTGAAATGAATGTTAAAACTGAGACAGAGAGTGAAGAGGAGGAAGAAGTTATATTAGAAAATGAAGATGAAGAACCGGAAGCTTCCCAGGAAGAGTTTGCAGGGTCCCTTGGAGAAAATCAAGCCAAATACACGTCCTCATTGAGCACAACGGTAGAAAATTCACCCAAAGAAAATGCCATGAAAGTTTCCGAATGGACTAATAAAGGCGAACAGTGCTGCAAAATTGACACTCAGGAACCAGAGCCTAAATTTAACCTGATGCAGATTCTGCAAGAGAATGGCAATCTTAGGTATGTACCCTTTGTAATTATAATAGTAAAACTGGTAACAGCTAACTTGTATTGTGTACCAGGTGCCGTGCTGGTGGCTTTAGAGCCATTTTCATCTCTTATTCACAGTAGCCCTGTGAAGTAATGACTGTGATATGATAGTATTAATGAAACTGAGTCTTAGAGAAGTGGCTTGTCCAAGATATAAAGCTATGATACAAATCCAGGTTTCATTGGCTGGACAAATACTTGTTGGGTTTTAGTGTTAGCACTAAGAACACAAGGAGCTCAAGCAGCTCATGATTCAGTATGGAGACACTTAAAGAGCAGAGGCTACGACCCCAACATGGATTAAGTCCTCTTAGGACACAGTGAAAGGACTGATTAGTCTTGCTTGGGAAGGTTAGAGAGACATTAGGGAGGAGGCAATATTTGAACCAGGCTTTGAATAATGAGTAGGATTTCAGGAGGTTTGGGAAATACCAACTAAGTGTGGAAGTGCTAATAGAAGAAATAAAGACACAGAGGTGTGATAGAAAATTCATTCAGTCCTTCAGCAGTGTTTGCTGAGTACCTGCTCTGTGCTGGGAATTGTGCTAGGCTGCATAGAATTACCATGGAGAGAGACCAAGACAGGCTCCTGGAGCTTACTCTAGTGGGGAAGGCTGGCAGTAGACAAAGAGGCAGGGTACTCTTAGGCAGTAGTAGGAGGTGCTATAAGGACAACAAAACAGGGTCTAGTGTTAGTGTGGTTCCATTAGATTGGTGTTTGGACACAAAGAGGTAACTTTTGAGTTGAGTCTGAATGATGATGAGGAGGAAAGTCATGTGAAGTGGAGTTAAGGATATTGAAGTGGAGAGAAGGATATTGTAAGAAATGAGACAAAGAGGAGCCTTGATTTTTAAATGCTAATTTCTAAGCAGATAAATGATGTGGTCAGATCTTAATTTAGAAAATAAATTCTGATTGCACTGTGGGAGAGGAACTGAAGGTAGAGCGGGAAGTTTTGGGGCTGTTAACAGTAGTCCAAAGCCAGGACGATAAAGGCCTTGACCAGAGGAATGGAGGGAATGGGATGGGCTTAATTAAATTTGCAAGTTAAAATTGTCAGAGCTTGGTCTCTATAGATGTAAGAACTCCAGAGAGACTGACTTTTCCAAATTTGGCAACTTAGTGATGCCATCAGTCAGGATAAGGAGCATAGTTGATGATTCAAGTAACGTTTTATTTGGGACACAGTGCGGTGAAAGTGCTCCAGGATGAGGATGTTCAGTAGATAGAAAATATAGCTTTGAAGGTCAGAGGTCAACAGAAATGTATAGTTGATAGTTAACAACTTCAGAGTGGATGTGCTTGTCCAATTCAGTTTAGTTCAGCAAGCAAAGACAACGGGAAAGGGAAGAAAACTGAGCCCTGGGAAAACCAATGTTTACTAGTAAAGAGACAAGAAATAGCAGAGAGTTAGGCAAAGAACTGGGAGGGTGTGGGATGGTAAAGGCTATAAGAGTTTCAAGCTGTAGAGTGCCTCAGACAGCCCAAGTTAGGATGGGAGTGAAAAGAGATGCCTGCATTTATGACCAGGGATGGATAGAGAGTGGATAGAAGAGAAAGTGTGATTTAAGGAAATAAAAAAGCAATTGTGAAATAACTTTTTCTGAAGATTTGGCAACGAAAGGAAGGTGAGGATGCATGTGAGAGAGCAAGCCAAGAAAAAGGATTTAAAAATTTTTTTCTAGTAGGGATTCTAGAGCTTATCTATAGACTAAGGGAAGGATTTTATGGGAGGAGGATTAGGGATGCAGAAATGGCTATATTGATAGAAAAGGGTTCTAAAGGAAGGTGGCAGAGGCTAATGGAGGGGTATCTTCTTCCTGTAAGTCAGAATGGAAGCACTATGGGATGAATGCAGTGGTTAGAAGTTAAAGGAGAAGGAAGTTTAGGTATTTATTTTCTAAGTTAGTGGTCAGTTGTTATACTAGTACTGCAGGAGTGGAGAGCGATATTGGGGTTTGGGAAATGGGGGGATAGAATTAAGGTTTGGAAAATGAGAATAGTTTCATTAGTAAAGAGCACACTGAACTTGGTTAGGAGACCTGGGCTCTGGCTTTAGTGCTTACCAGCTAGAGGTGTGATCATGGCTTTTCCACGCCTCAGTTTCCTTTTCTATTAGGCCAGAGAATGGGGTTAGACAAGTGTTTTCAAACTGTGCTTTCTGCTGGGGGAAAATTGAAATAGAACTTTTCAAAACCACTGGACTATAGTCTAAGGTCCTTTCCAGCAATGACATTCTGGATATAATTATTTCTTCATAAATCTTATGGACCTCACTTTCAGCCAGTAAACTTGTAATTGCAGTGTGCATTCATATAAATTAGTGGTTTTCAGACTATTTTCTGGAGTTGCCCATCATTCCATGGGGCATCAGAGTGGCTACTGGGAATCTGGGCGGGGTCCATGGCAAGGATTCAAGACTCCAGGCCGCAGCCCCCTAGTTATATGTATATATTTAATCTGATAAGACTTTCACATCTTGATAACATTTCCTATGTTGATAGTTTTTTTAATCTTTACCCAAGGAGTGAGGGTTCTCTCCCCTACCCCAGCGATTTTTAGAGAGAGTAGAAGGGAAGGAAGAGGGGGAAAAGATAGAGTAAGAGAAGAGAGAGAAAGAGAGAGGGAAACATGAGAGAGACACATGGATTGGTTGCCTTCTGCAGGAGCACCAGGGGGGGCAGGGATTGAACCTGCAACCGAGGTGAGTGCCCTTGCTTGGAATTGAACCCGTGACCCTTCAATCCACAGGCTGATGCTCTAACAATTGAGCAGAACTAGCCAGAACTATTTTTTGTACTGAGGATCCACATAGGCTTTTGTTTTTTGTGGGTTTTTTTTTTTTGGTGTAAATCATTTTTTCATTCTTTTATCTTTTTGTTTGTTTGTTTCAAATGACTAGCTAACAAATGTATCTAATACCTTAGGGGCAAACTCAGGATTAACATCCTACTGATCTCTTTAACAAGGGCAGAAAACTTAGTACTTGTTCATTTGATTTTCAACAATGATTTTTAACAAAATAATTGAAATCTTAACTTCTAAGCAATAATTCCCTTATCCAAAGACCTTCATGTTTTAACATTAAAAGACTAATCAGCCGAGACTGGTTTGGCTCAATGAATAGAGCGTTGGCTTGGGGACTGAAGGATCCCGGGTTCGATTCCGGTCAAGGGCATGTACCTTGGTTGCGGGCATATCTCCAGTAGGGGGTGTGCAAGAGGCAGCTGATCGATGACTCTCTCTCATCGATGTTTCTAATTCTCTATCTCTCTCCCTTCTTCTCTGTACAAAATCAATAAAATATATTTTTTTTTTAAAAAAGACTAATCAATACAACTGGGTATTCTGCTAAATTTGGAGGTGTCTGACACATGCTATTTCTAGTTCATTATATTGCAGGTGAATTCATTGACCAAAATTGATTTACTTTGATTTGAAAGGAATTTGTTGTGGAGGTAAAGCTATAGGAATGGTTGAGGGGAAAGTGACATATGGTCCCCAGGTGGACAAGAATATAATTGTTGTCTTTATTGAGAAACACTCGGAAATATAAATTTATTTTTTCCAAAGTCATATTATACTCCCATAGACTATCCCTATTAATAACAAAGATATAGCCTTTCTTATATTTCATGCTCTGAAGATCTTATGTATTAAACTCTCCAAAGCAAATCTACTCCTCAACTTGACTCCCTTCCCCTCCAGTCCCTCCAACACACACATGTAAAGCTAAACCTAGACCCTCTTGGGATTTCCAGTGTACTCTGGACAAGCCCCTCATCTCAGCCTTGGAGGAACAGTGAGTAGAAAGCACTCAGTGATTGCATGTGTGAGGATTGTAAACAAAGTTTGTGTTGGGCCCCAAGCTTCACTGATGTCATTTTGGCTAGAGTGTCAGAAGGCCGATCAGCTGAAGTAACCAAAATCTCCCCTGAAAGAAAACAGAGTTGCTGCAATTAGCCGCCGCAGTGAAAATCATCAGTGTCTCTCTGGTTCCTCTGGCTGCCACGCTGTACTTATCAGATTTCCTGGGTTCTTACCGAGACCACCAGTCAGCAGTCGGTGGGTTCTTCGGCAATGTCGCTGAGGAGTTTTGTACTGCATGCGAGGATTTCTCTTTCCCACTGAACATCTGGGCTTGTCCTAGCCTGTCCATGCCAAACTCTGTTGGCCCTCACTCATTTGTTCTGGGCCTCTGCCACTCTCGTCTCGTAGTTGAGAAAAGCATGATCTTAAAATTTGGTCTCAAAAGTTCCTTTGTAGGATTTATCTATTTCTGCTTTGGAGGCTTTTGCACACCAGAAATATTAGTTGCCATAGCAAAAGCCATACTTTTGCACTAACTGGTAAGTATGTTCTTATGGGTCTTGGGGGCAGAAAAACTTTTCTACATTAATACAAAGGCTCTGGTGAAGAGTCAATATTTTTCCTGTCCATTCCCCAAGGAAGTTGTTTAAAAAGTTCAAAGATACATATGTATGTAGGAAACCTGATTTTCTATTATTGTTTGAGTTTTCCTTGTGGAAATAATGAGAAAATAAATAGGATTCTCCATTTCTAATTCTTTTAATAGAAAAAAATCTCATGTACTGTTTTAGAAGGAACCTTTATTCAGCGACTATATGGTTTATGGGCTTTATTTTTCTTAACCATCCTTCTAGAAGGAGACTCAAGGGCCACTTTGAGAGAGGCAAGTACACATTTGCTAGGCTTACCATTCTGCCTCATAACGGTGTGCTGTTTTGGATTTCTATAGCAAAGTGCAGGCCCGAATAGCATTCTCTGCCTATCTCCAGCATGTCCAAATTCGCCTGATGAAAGACAGCGGAGGTCAAACGTTCAGTGCCAGTTGGGCTGCCAAGGAAGATGAACAGATGGTGAGGCTCTTCTGCTGGAACTTTTTTTTTCCTTTTCTTTCTCTCTCCCCTCCCTTTTTTTTCTACTACGGTAAAGAGCAATATATTCTTCTGGTCAATGAATGATTTCAGATCTATTGTATAGATTTCTCTTACTTTAATGTGAAGTAAGTCTTTGTTATGGGGCCATATTCATCATACTTATGTGTTGGGGACATCAATTTATTTCGTTCCAAAAATGGAAATTGCTGAGTAGATGCCAGGTCCTGTGCAAAGCCCTCGAAAAGAATAACAATTAGAATATTTTCTCAAGGAAGTTTGTTTTATTAACTCTCTGAGGGAGGCACTACCATCCCCATTTTATAGATGAGGAAACAAAGACCTAGAGAAGGAAGATAACTTGCCTGTTGTCTGTCCCACAGCTTGTATGTGGTAAACTGGAACTTGAACCCGGAAGTTACAATGGTACATTATTTGCTCTTCCATTGTTTCCATGAGTCATAGGCGTTTATTTTTCTGTCCTGAGGTGTCAAGTTAGCTCTTTGAAAGTTAACACTTTATCATAGGCCCTCTGAGAGTGAAACTTCCTCCATTTTAACATTTTTTCTTTGCTAGTTGTAACTTTATAAAATTCTTAGATTACTGGAAACAAACGTAATAATTTTTACTGTGTATCAGTCATTTGAACATGCCTAGATTTTAATATTCTAGCAAGATTTTTCCTTTTGGATCAGAATGAACTTAAATTTCTTTGGCAAAGTCAATGTTTATGGAAGAAGCTACAGCCCTTCCGTAGCCATTTTAACCACAGGGATGTGTCACCAAAAAGAGAGGGACCTTTGAGACTTAGAAAGTTGCATCCTTTGTCCAGTCACTGGTGTCCATACTGTAATGTCCAGTTGTCCACATTCAAGAGGCATACAGTATGCCCAGCTTATTATACAAACATGATGGCTGTCTCAGAAAATAACTTGTGAATTTAAAGTAGCTACTGCAGCCGAAACCGGTTTGGCTCAATGGATAGAGCGTCAGCTTGGGGACTGAAGGGTCCCGGGTTCGATTCCAGTCAAGGACATGTACCTTGGTTGCGGGCATATCCCCAGTAGGGGGTGTGCAAGAGGCAGCTGATCGATGACTCTCTTTCATCGATGTTTCTAACTCTCTATCTCTCTCCCTTCCTCTCTGTACAAAATCAATAAAATATATTTAAAAAAATAAAAATAAAAAAAATAAAGTAGCTACTGTAACCCAGAGATAAAACCCTGTGTGTTGTGAATAATCTCTCAGCCATCAGTGGAAAATGTTAGCTCTGCTCTTTCCAAGTGGAAAATTGAAACTGCCTTTTTGAGAGTCAGTTTGTCTGCTCCACTGTGAAAAAATAATGTTTTAATATAACAGCTTAAACCACCCTATAGTACAGGGAGCAGAGTAGAGCTATGAAATCCAACCCTCTAGTTATGAAGTGATTTCTTTATACTGGAATAAATTGGCACCAAAGGACAATGAACCAAAATCAAATAGAAAAAAATAAAACCAAGAAGAAAAAATAGCTCAGAAGAGCATAACCACTCAACTATTAGCTTGGAATTCACACAGGATTTCTACAGTACTTTTTACAAGAATATTTGGGATCATCACTGCAAAACTTAATACCAGTTCTGTGAATTTATTTTTGAAAATATATCTAGGAAACAAACCCTCACCCATTCCCTGAGGATTGTGGCAGTGGTCTTGTTTATGAGGAAGGTAGGTGTAGAATTGTCTCTCTGATCCAGGTTAGAGTTAGAGATTCTTTATCACATAACTCACAGAAGGCACATCAATATACAGTTCCAACATCTGTCATCTTAAGGCAATTTTATTGCATTTGGCAGAGGAGGGAAGGAACAACAATCTTTAAGGCGTGTGGCCTTGCAAAATCTTTCTTTGAAGCATCTATGATGTTATGAATGATCTGATTGTTGTGTATTCAGATTTCAGAATCCATTCTTCCATTCAAGTGAGATGCATTCATTCTTCCCCTTAATGACCTTCCACTGTGCCCTGCTTGCCAATCCTTAATTCTAAAGACTCTCTTATCCTCAGGACAGGAAAAACACATCACCTTTCAAGCATAGTAACAGCTCTTTTTTCCCCTCTGTTCCCTTTCCCTCTGTTCCCCTTTCTCTGCTGAAAGTATGGTTTTGGTATTATTTCATACAGCTCCATCCAGGGCCACGGCTTGTGGTTCTTTCCAGCTCCAGCCTCTTGGAAGCTTTGGGCCTGGGACCCTTTCCTCCCTCAACTTCCATGACACTGTTTTCTCTTGGGTTTCTTTCTACATTTATGATGTTTCTCCCGTGGGGTTGTATGTATGATCTGGGTAGTTTTTAGGTTGTTTTTCTGATCCTTCCCCTTCCCCCACTTATCTCTAAGCATGACTATTTCTGTATTCTTTATCTTCTCACCTTTGGTATTTTCATCTGCTCTCATGGTTTTGTTTCCACAACTTTCCCTAAATAGCTTTCTCTTTTCACCCTATTAGAAGTGAAATATGCACTTTAAATTGTTATAATACTATTTGTATATGAATTATGGTAGTTTTACAGCTATTTATTGCATAATTTTTGATTTTCTAATTGCCAGCATATTAAGGGAAGAGAATGCATTTCCTTTGTTTTATGTCTTTATGTATCCTTCCTATACCTAGTATGTTTGCTTATTTATTGAAATGTATAGTTTGCCTTTTTTCACTTCTCTGTTGTATAATCTCTTGATAGCTTGTCTTCTGTTGCTTAGCACAATCCCTGCTTTGCCTCCACAATGACTCTTAATTCTTAGGAGCTAGTGGTTCGTTTCCTCAAGCGAGCATCAGGTAACCTCCAGCACTCACTGAGGATGGTGTTACCCAGCCGACGACTGGCACTTCTGGAACGCAGGCGAATCCTGGCCCATCAGCTGGGTGACTTTATCATCGTGTACAACAAGGTAGGTGGTTTATCTGTTAGCCTTTGCTTTAGATTACCGCGCACCGTCAGAAACAGGCTGGAAGCCTCTTTCCTACTGGCTGGCGAGGTCCTTCTTATCTTCTCTGGCCTCATTATCCCATGTTTGGCCATTACAGGGAGCAGGGCCTCATTCCTTAACCTAGGTGGGTTGAAAGGCTACTTATTTATTACTTCTGAGGCCCCAGTGGCCATAGTTAACTCTTATCACGAGGTATAGTCCTTTTGAGCACTGTTGCACCTGAGATAACTCCTGGGCTGTGTGAATTTGCATTGTCCTGATGGTGCCTGTAGACAGTAGTGAAATGACTATTTCAGAGGTAATTTGAACTGTGTATTTAATATATCTACAGTCTTCTTTCCTGAGAGAGTTATACTTTGTTCTCTAGAACATTTAACCAGTGGCATCATTTTACAGTGAAGCCCAGGAAATACATTATTTGGTTAGATTACTTTGTAAAGCATCTTTTATCCAAGGGTCTCAGAATGCTTTAGAAATACCTTTTTTTTTTCCCTTATAAAACATATGGTCTTTTTACAAAAGGAAAAGCTGAGGCCTGAAAATCTAAATGGCATTTTAAAAGATTCGTGGAATGATTGGCAGAACATTAACATAACTGAATCCATAGCTCACAATTTTTTCCAGATCTGTTCAGAATTTTGGTATGTCTTGTATAAACGAAGGATTTATTCAGTTTGGGTGCTGGTTGATATAGGGAATATCTCCAAAGACCTATTTTTCTTCTCCCTAATTGTAACAAAATGCAGTCTCTGTTATATTGTTGAAGCTGTAAGTATAGCCACAGACGTTGGTAAAATGTTATGAAAAGCCCTTTTCTCATTGGGCTCTGTGAATAGAAAGTAAAAACATAATAACAATTTACATTTATTCTGCAATTTTTATTTGGAAATTGCAGTGTTTCATGAAATAATGGCAGAAAGCATTGTCTCATATCGATGTGTGGCAGAAGACCATAGAGGAATTAAATGTCTTTACTAAGCTGTGAAACCAGATGATGAAATTTGCATTTATCAGGAGTCAGTTTTATCTTGTTGTTTTTCTGTGGGGGTTGGGGACTGGGTAGGAAACAGAACAGATGGCTGAAAAGAGATCCAAGAAGAAACTTGAGGAAGAAGAGGAAGATGGGGTGAATGCAGAAAATTTTCAGGAGTTCATCAAACAAGCAAGGTAGAAGACATTTTTGAAGAATTGAAAATGTCTTATTCCATCTTCCATACTCCCCATTGAATTCCCAACATTCCCTTGTTCCTAACATATGGATGTGAATAAAATCTCTCTTAGAAGGAAAAAAAAGAGTTTCTTAGGCTTGGCCTCTCCATATCTCAGCCAGTTATGTTGCTGTTGTCATGGTTTAGTTTATCATAACACTGCTGCTGGTTATCTGGGCTGTATTTCTAGACAGCCTTCAAAGTACACATCACTCAGAGTGCTGAGAGAGCCCTTTGGAAAGTTGAAGTTAGAAGCTTCTAGTGTTTACTGGATCTGAATTTATCCCTGGCCTACTGAAGCAGAGAGATGACCAAATTTTGCCTACATTGAGTGGGTTGAGGAATTGGCAGTTTCTCAGCACTGTGAAGGTTACGCCTAATTTATATAAAATAGAACAAGTCCTTCATGCTTAGGGTTAGTCTTTAGGGATTGAAAATTTTAGCATTTGGCTCTCTATCTTGATATAAATTAGCAGGCCATTTTGTCCATTTACAATGTGTTTCCAAAGGAAGAGGTAACAAAGGTATTTATATTGTGTTTAATTTGTACTTAAAGGCCTTTGTCTAAAACAAAACAGACTTCTTTAAAACCACTTAAATAAAAGATAAAACATCCGTATAACCCCACTAATTAGTTTTCAACCATCAAAGACACAGTAGGGAGAAAAGCAGTAGAAAAATCAACTCTCAGTTGATTTGTGAAGTTAAATCAGGTGGTGGTTTATCAATCACCAGCATGGTATGGTCTGTGTTTAATGCCTTGTGTAGACTTAATCATAGCCTCAATGTCATGTGCTTAAGTTAAACACATAGCAAACACTTCATTTTTTAAGAGTTCATAATCTTGTAGTTATTTTGTTGACATTCTTGGGTATTGAGTAATATGATTGATAAAGCAGGTATAGAAACAAAGCAAGGAACAGTTTGTCACATCAATATTATAAAACTAGAGAAGAAAAAACACTAGATTATGCTCAGAAAATGGTTCTTTTAAATTAAAAATTTTAATTTCTAGTTCCTCCTAGGGATTTTAAAAATCCCTAAAATATAAGAAAAGAAAAGAAAAAACAAGTGATGTATATTCCACGACTAGACCTCACTTGGGAGTCAAATTGAGTTATATATACTATTAGCTGGGATATAGACTTGGAGGTAAAGTATATTTACTACTGATTGTGGACTAAATACTAATTGTGGGAATAGGTGCTTTATTATGCTTGGGTGGTACATGGATGCCTTTGTCAGGGTTGTTGAATTCAAACTCCTGCAGGAGCCAGGCAGGGAAACATAAATTATGAAGTGGGCAGAGGATAAGATATGAGGTATAAAGCAAGCCTGTATTTTGACCAACCTTCGCCGTTCCCTGTCAGTAACCTGTGAAAGCCAACTAAAACACTGACAGGCAGAGGCGGCCTCCGCGCTAGGCCTTTGGTAGTTACACCAGCCTTTATCTTGTGCTACTTCAGAGACCTTAAGGCTCACCCTGAAATTCATAGATGCCATTTCTTAGGTTGTCATTTCAGTGTGTGCTGAAGATGGGATATAGGTTCTTTGAAAGAATGCCGGAATATTTCGCTCATTTGAAGGCTTCTTATCTGGAACATAGCCAGGCTCGAGGGGGGAAAATGCAAAAAAGCCATTGAGAGGCTGCTCTAGATGTTACAAAATCTGTGTATAACATATGTACTGGAAGAATCTTAAGGGCTTTCGTCTGTTTCCTTATACGTACTTTCATTTTGTGGGTATTCCGAAGGTGAATTTTATTTCAATATTGGAAGTGACCTAGAGAACACCTAGTTTGCTCTCCTTCATTATATAGGTGGTCAGGGAACTCTTCTATGGTGATGGGTGGGTCTCCTTAGTGCTGATATAGACCAAATGTCAAGTGGCTCTTTTAGTGAGTATACCTCAATTACCCTGAAGTGGGGTGGACTGTAAAGGGCCAGAAAAGAAGGCTGCATGGAGTCTTTAGAGCATATTCTTTAAAAATATAAAAGCCATGCTTAATTGGGAGCCATAGGAAACAGGCTGCTGGTCAGGTGGATGTTGGACAGTGCAGATCTAGAAAATTTGTGGAAAGAATAAAGCTTAAAAATTTTAGATTGCTTTACTTATATTGTGCTTAACCATTTATTAGTCACGAGTGTTCAGCTTATCTTTTCATTTTCCCATTCTCCAGCTTACTCCATTTCTTAATAAAATCTGGTGGGAAGGTTTTCTAACCATCCTTTCTCTCCTCGTTTCAGTGAGGCTGAGCTGGAGGAGGTGTTGACTTTTTATACCCAAAAAAACAAGTCTGCAAGCGTCTTCCTGGGGACTCACTCCAAAGGCTCTAAAAACAGCAACAGCTATTCTGATAGCGGAGCAAAGGGTGGTAAGTATGTTGGTTAATTCATGAAAAATAAGAACAAGTGGAAAAAAAGGATATGCAAAGGAGAGTCAAGAATAATGTGCTGCCTAAGCAGTGATAGACGCCACGGTGGTGACATTTTACAGTGCCAGATGGGAAATAAGAAGGCATTACATTACATTTTTGTGCTAAAGGCAGAAGAGAGGCAGGAACTGGTTTTTTAATGATAACAGCAGAGAGCTTTTCAAGACAAATTAATAGTCAACATTTAGTGAGAGATCCTGATAATCTGCTGGACATGATCTTTTTTTTTTTTTTTTTTTTACTTCAAAAAATCATATGGAGTACGGTGGGTGCTATTATAAAATTCCTTACAGATGAGAAAACAGAAGCCAAAAGAGACTGAGTAACTTGCTCAAGGATGCCCTTCGCCATGCTGTGGGGCAGGAGTTTGAGCCTTAGCCTGCCTGATTCAAAGCATGACCTCTTAATCTGTTTCTCTGCCTCTCCTAATGATCTCTCACTTTTGTTCCTTTTTTGTTTTTGCTTCCTCCAGCTCATAATCATTGGCATTTAGGGTAGAATAATTCTTTGTTGTGTAGGACTAGTGATGACTTAATATTCTTAATCCCATTCACTGAATTCCATTAAATTTCTTCAGTCATGGTAGTAACCCAAAATGTTTCCACATGTTTCTGAAAGTTTTCTGTGTTGGGGCACTCCATGATTAGGGATTTTGGAATTGATGTGGATCAAAGTATCTAGGTTGCATCACATGATTTAAAAAGTAGCAGTGATATTCTGTTCTAAACAGAGCCCTGTGCTTTAAATGTAAGATTCATTTAAAATTTAGATGGAAGTGTACTAGTAAGATATAGTACTCAATAAATTAATTTTGTTAAGGAGTTAAATAGCAGATTCAAAGGTGGAGCTTTTTCCTGTTTTTGTTTTGTTTTGTTTTGTTTTAATATATTTTATTGATTTTTTACAGAGAGGAAGGGAGAGAGATAGAGAGCTAGAAACGACGATGAGAGAGAAACATCGACCAGCTGCCTCTTGCACACCCCCTATCGGGGATGTGCCCGCAACCAAGGTACATGCCCTTGACCAGAATCGAACCTGAGACCTTTCAGTCCGCAGACCGACACTCTATCCACTGAGCCAAACCGGTTTCGGCTTTTTCCTGTTCTTTAGGCTACCATAGCCTAATGTGGAGATGGCCATGATAATTGGTCATTTAAAACGTGAGTTTGTTTTCCCCAGAAAAGCAATGTTAATATTTTGAAAATCTTTTATGTTCTAAGACTAGTCCACGAAAGCCTATTTAGCTCATTATATCACTGAATTATTCTATTCTAAATGTCCTTCTGAATTCAGTACTCTACTTGAGCTTTCTTAACTTACCTAAGTACTGAAACTAGTTTATTCACCTCTTCATTCACTCCTCCTAAATATTTTTATTGAGCATCTGTTACGTGTCATCTATTATTGTGATAGTTGTAGGTATGTAATGACCAGGACTGTCATAGTCCTTTATTTTATGTAACATTTATTGTCTTCGAATGAAGTAGGAGGAATAAATAAAGGAAGAAGGTTGGTGGAAGTGTTGGGGAAGAGAGGCTCAGGAGTTCTTATAATGAGGTTGGGGTAGAGAAAAGTGTGTTAACCCAAGTAGGTGAGGGCCTAGATTGCAATTGAGAATATAACTTCTCCCCTGGCAGTAATGGGGAAGCCCTAACAAAATGTACCTGTTTGTATAAATGGGTCCTTGGAAATTCTGGAGTTTGTGTGTTAAGGACTGCCTTTATATAAGATCTATATCTGTCTATACCTATCAAGAGTAACCAGAGGATGCCCTAGCTGGTTCGGTTCAGTGGTTAGAGTGTTGGCCCATGGACTGAAGGGTTTCTGGTTTGATTCTGGTCAAGGTCTCGTAGCTCGGGACACATGCAGGAGGCAACCAATCGATGTGTCTCTCACATTGACATTTCTCTCTCTGTCTCTCTCACTTCCCCCTACCTTCCACTCTTTCTACAAATCAATGGGAGGGAAAAATCCTTTGATGAGGATTAGCAAAAAGAAAAAGAAAAAAAGAACCAGAGGGGCAAAAAGAATGCTTCAACCAAGGAAACACCATTTTGAAATTTGATAATTACTGGACTCGTTTCAAACATGAGTACACAAATGTGGGATAGTATGACCAAGGTTGATGGAGAGGAGAATTCATGTGTCCTAATTCTTTCATTCTGAAAGATGACCTGAAAAATGACCTTTTGTAAGTTTTGCAATGAGCTTAGCCCTTGAGAAAGATTATGGAATATTCCCCTAAGTATATGAATAGTTCTGGCTGTCCTTTTTCAGTAATCTGTGGCAGAAAAAAAAAAAAAACCCACTAATTTATTAGAGTGGAAATTTATTTTATTAGAGTTTTTATTTTGTTGTTGAATATACTGACCAACCTATCTCAAGTAAAACTCACTTAGCTTATTGAAGTAAAGCCAAGGAGTTTAAGATACAGAGCCATTGTAATATCTAGGTGTCCTGCCAGCAAATATCAGGGCTATTCTTTCCATCTCTTGATGGTTGCCCTGCTCCATACAAATTATGACCTCTTTGTTCCAGAGGATACCACCAGCCTGCTTGGTCTCTTGTTCCCATAGCCTGAGTTGTTGGCAGAGGCATCTGACTGTCCTTATCTTCTTTTACGAGCATGTCCTAGCCTATTGGCAGTCCATGGATGCTATCTTGGATTTAAATGTCTTTTCCTGGTTCAGTTAGCAGGAGCTGGGCTTGGGGATCATTGGGAATCATTTGGTTGGTTGCCCACTCTACAGAGAAGTGGGTCTGGCCATCCTTGGAAAAGTGTGGTTGAGATAGGATTGGTTCCTGGGATTGATTTATAGTTGTGTTATATTTTTGTAAACAAAATTATATGTAGCGACACCCTAGCATTAGTAGAAGAGCCTCAGGTCAGTATTTATCTTTTATTTTAGATCACCCTGAGACAATGGAAGAAGTGAAAATAAAGCAGCCCAAACAGCAACAGGCAACAGAAATTCACTCTGATAAACTATCTCGTGAGTGACTTCAGACTACATAGATTTGCTACTCACTGATAAATCCACGAAAGGAAAACAAGTCTTCAGATATTAAATGATTCGAGAACATGAGACATTACCCCAAAGAAGTTCCTTTTCTTTGCTCTTCCTTTTCCCTTAGAATTTCCTCTAATCTACTGAGAACCTGTTTTCCTTCCAAAGGATTTCTCACTTTAATGTTTAGAAATTCTGAGCACTTTTCTAGAAGGTTGGAAAGCAGAAGAAGGGTGTTAGTTGTCACTACCAGAAACTTTGTCTGATGCCCTAACATTTGTAAAACTTCTGCTCTGGTTAATGGAGCTAGTCCCAACTCCAGCTTTGAAAAAGAACTAAAAGCAAACTTTCTGTTGCCAAGTTATCTCCGCAGGCAAAATTTATTAAATTCATGATGAATACTCACTAAAGTCTGTATTTTTCATGACTTCTGTTTCATGATAAGATTATTTTGATGTTTAAATATGTTTATGTCATGCTTCATTGTGATTATATGCCAGTTTTTCTTAAAATGACCTATTTTTTTGTTTTGTCTTGTTTTTGTTTTAATAGGACTTACCACTTCAGCAGAAAAAGAGACTAAATTAGTCTTTACCAATCCTTCCTCTGCTTCTTTTTCTGGTCCTGCTGCTACTCTTCTGCAGAAAGTTCCCAACACCCATTTGTCATCTATTGTTACAACCTCTGACCTCTCTCAAGGGCCTGGTCACCAATCTTCTTTATCTCAGATTCCTCCAGCCATCCCCAACGTGCCTCACCAGCCAACAGTGTTGCTGAGCACAGCCCCTGACAGTGCTTCTCCCTCCACACATCCTGGGACACAGAACGTACCAAGCCCCGCTGGCCTGCCACGCTGTCGATCAGGCAGTTATACCATTGGCCCCTTTTCCTCTTTCCAGAGTGCTGCACAAATCTACAGCCAGAAACTGTCTCGTCCCTCTTCAGCAAAGGCAGGTGAGTGAGAAAACGAAAGGCAGCCTGCAGTGGCAGCTCCTCCCAGCCCCAGTAAAAAGAGAATATCGCCTTTTGTTGTTGTTGTTGTTGTTGAAAGGTAAAGGATATGCTGCATTGTTCTGGTATAATCAAAGAAGAGTCTTGCATTTGGTCCAATGGCATTCATTCATTGATACAAAATAAAACAATTTCTTTTAGGTGCTGGGATAAAGAAATGAATAAGACGGGACTTCTATTTAGTAGAAGCTTGCAGTCTAATTAAAATATTTCTCTGTCAGGCCAATGTGGCCCAGTGGTTGAGCATCCACCCATGAACCAGGAGGTTTACAGGTCAATTCCCGGTCAGGACAGATGCCAGGGTTGTGGGCTCAATCCCCAGTAGGGGGAGTGCAGGAGGCAGCCAATCAATGATTCTCACCATTGATGTTTCTCTCTCCCTTTCTCTTCCATCATGAAATAAAAATATATATATATATATATATATATATATATATATATATATATAACGTATATATGTGAGATTTCCCATCACAGATAATCATAGATCTGTGAGTGTGCTGTGTGTATTCTTTCTGATTCAAATAATTAATCCTGACATCAGACAAATTAGTATTAATTTTTAATGTATTTAAAGTCAAAAGTGACCTGAATAAATAACCAAAGAATTCTTAAGATAGGATATCTAATTTTATTTTATTTTTAACTGTATTTTTATTGTGGATATTATTATAGATATCTAGGCTAGGTATCTAATTTTAAATGAAGTAGACCCATTTTATCATTCAAGTTTTCTTTTTTTTTTAGGTTTTTTTTTTTTTTTAATATATATTTTAAATTTATTTTTAGAGAGAGAGGAAGGAAAAGGGAGAGACAAAGAGAAACATGCCCCCTATTGGGGATGGAACCTATAACCCGGGCTTGTGCCCTGACCAGGAATCAAACCAGCAACCTTTCGTTGCATGGGATAAATGCCCAACCCAATGAGCCACACTGGACAGGGCTTTCCTCGTTATTAAATAGCTTTATTGACATGTAATTAATATACCATAAAATTCACCTATTTAGAGTGTAGAATTCAGTGGTTTTAGTATATTCACAGTTTTACAACACCACTGTTTTAGAACATTTTCCTTGTCCCAAAGAAATCCCATACCTATTAGCAGTTACTATTCATGTTCTCCTTCCACCAGCCCTTTGCAACCACTAATCTACTTTCTGTTTCTATAGATTTGCCTATTCTGGACATTTCATATAAGTAGAATCATACAATTGGTGGTCTTTGTAAATAGCTTCTTTCATGACTCATCCATATTGTAGTATGTATTGGTACTTCATTTCTTTTTTTCTTTTTCTTTTTTTATGGTTGAATAATATCCCACGGGATAGATGTACCACATTTTTTAATCTAGTTATCAGTTGTTTTCACTTTTTGGCTATCATGAATAATGCTTCTATGAACATTCATGTACAAGTTTTTGTGTGGACCTATGTTCCCGTTCTATTGGATGTAAACCTAGGTATAGAATTGCTGGTTTACACGGTAACTTTATAGTTCTTTTTGAGGAACTTCCGGACTATTTCCAAAGGCACTATACCATTTTACCACCAGCAGTGTATGAAGGTTTCAATTTCTCCACATTCTTGACAACACGTAGTATATCTGTATTTTTTATTTTACTCATCCTGGTAGCTTTGAGGTAGTATCTTTTTTTTTTTTTTTTGTGGTCATCATTTGCATTTCCCTAGTGACTAATGATGTTGAGAATCTTTGCATGTGTGTAGTGGTCATCTGTATATCTTCTTATTCAAATACTTTGCCCATTTTTAAATTGGGATATTGTCTTTTTATTGTTGAGTTGTAAGTGTTCTTTATATATTATAGGTACAAGTCCTTTGTCAGATACTTTATGCACAAAGATTTTCCTCCTATTCTGTTGGCCGTGTTTTCAAAACACTCAAAAGTGTAAGGGTTTATTTCTGGATTTTCAGTTCTATTCCATTGATATATACATCTGTCCTTATGTCAGTACCATATTGTCTGTAGCATTGTAGTAAGTTTTGAAATCACCAAGGGTGATTCTTCCAATTTTCTTGAAGCATAAAAGTTTTAAATTTTAATGAGCTTTAATTTATCTAGTTTTTCTTTTCTTGCTTGTGTTTTTATTATCATATTTGAAAAACTGTTGCCTAACCCAGGGTTACAAATATTTATACAGGGTGGGGCAAAAGTAGGTTTATAGTTGTGAGTACATGAAATACAGTTTATTCTATTATTATTATTTATTATTATATTGTTTCCCATACTAACAATTGTAAACCTACTTTTGCCCCACCCTGTATATATGTTTCTCTAAGAATTTTATAGTATAGGCTGCTACATGTAGATCTTTTATTCATTTTGAGTTCATCTTTATGCATGATATGGTAAAAGAGTCTAACTTCATTTTTTTTTTTTTTTTTGGCATGTGGATATTCAGTTGTCCCTTTCCATTTGTTAAAAGAGTATTATTTCCATGATGAATTGTTTTGGCACTCCTAGCAAAAATCCTTTACTCAAAAGTGTAAGAGTTTATTTCTGGATTTTCAGTTCTATTCCACTGATATATACATCTGTCCTTATGTCAGTACCATATTGTCTGTAGCATTGTAGTAAGTTTTGAAATCACCAAGGGTGATTCTTCCAATTTTGTTCTTTTTTATATTGCTATTTTTGGATCCCTTGCATTTTCATATAAACTTTAGAATAAACTTATTAGTTTTTGTAAAACCATACAGATGGGATTTCAATAGGAATTGAGTTTAATCTGTACATCAGTTTGGGGAAAATCCTAACATCAGTCAGATTTTTATTTTTTATTATTTTTATTTTATTTTATTTTAAAAAATATATATTCTATTTATTTTTTTACAGAGAGAAAGGGAGAGAGATAGAGAGCCAGAAACGTTTATGAGAGAGAAACACCGACCAGCTGCCTCCTGCACACCTCCTACTAGGGATGTGCCCGCAACCAATGTATATGCCCTTGACCGGAATCGAACCTGGGACCTTTCAGTCCGCAGACCAACGCTCTACCACTGAGCCAAACCGGTTTTGGCATCAGTCAGATTTTTAAATGCTTTAGTGATATCCATGTTAATGTGAGTGACAGCTATTAAAAACTATGTTTTGTAAATAGCCAGTCTATTTCCTTTTTGTTTGTTCGTTTTTGTTAATTCTCACCGGAGGGTATTTTTCCCATTACTGTTTTTTTTGTTTGTTTGTTTGTTTGTTTGTTTGTTTTAAGAGAGTGTGGAAGGGAGGGAAATGAGAGAGAGAAACATTGATGTAAGAGAGACACATCTTTGGGTTGCCTCTGACACAAGGATGGAACCTTGACCAGTAATTGAATCCAAGGCCCTTCAGTGCACAGGCCGAGTCTCTAACCACTGAGCACACCAGCCAGGGCACTAATTTGTTTCTTAATCAGTATCTGATTTCAAATGAAATGGATTTTATAATATGTGGCTTGAATCAGAAATATTAAATGTGTTATTTTAATAAGTCATAAATATGAATATGTGTCTGTGCTAATTCTGTGATGATTATTTTTTAATCTTCTAAAATTAGTAATATTAATAATCTGATTTGAACTTTATTCTCTCATGTGAGAAATTCAGTAATGTCAGTGTCTCCAGTACCCTGTGTTTTCATCAAAACTTGTTTTTTCACCTTCCTTTTTCTATTTTTCTCAAAGAAGGATAGGGAACAGAAGAAAGTAGTCAGTTCCAGAATGTTTTCTAATTTCTATTGTGATTTCTTCTTTTACCCATGGATTGATTATAAGTATAATCATTGTTTAGTTTTTATATAATTGGCATTCTCTACTTTTCCTAATTGGCTTTTAACTTTTTTCAACTATAGTCAAGAACATATTCTGAATGGCTTAAATAGTAGTAAACAGCAATAGTCAGCAACAATATAGTAGATAGCAATAATAACTTGCTAGTGTTGGGAGTCAAATTTTTCTGTGATTATCGAGTAGTTTGGGAATGAGATTAATTTATCATTTAACTTTAGACTTTATTTTTTAAATTTATTTTAATTATAGTTGACATACAATATTATATTAATTTCAGGTGTGGAAATCTTAGGTGAGAGTATCAATGCTACTCCTAGGCATATACACAAGAGTTCTTCCACATATGTACCAGGAGATGTTTGCAGGATGTATGCTGCACCGTCTATAATAGCAATGAGCTTGAAATAACTAGGATATCCATTAATGGGGGAACAGAAAAAGAACTTGTAGTGTACTTGCAAAATGGAATACCAAGCAGCAGATGAAATTAATAAATTTTAGCTATATTTATAAAGGATTAACCTTAAGCGTATTGTAATGAATAACAAAAGCAACTCCAAGGAAACCACTACAGGAAGGTTTATATTTTTGTAGAACTCAAAAACAAGCAAAATTACCTGGTGTTGAGTATGTGTACACACAAATGCATACATAAATACCCAATATAAAGTTATATTTTTTAAAGGGAAGGGAATACATGATAAAGGGAGACAAGGGATCAGGAAGAGCACCTGGGTTGATGCATGTTTATTGGTGATGTGGTCCTCGAGTTGATAATAAATTCATGGGTGTTCACTGTAATCTGCTGTATGAGTTATACATCTGTTATAAATAATTTTATATGTATCCCATAATAAGCATGAGAATATTTAGATTTTTGAAAGCAGTGTCACCAAATCATATATATGATCATCACAGTTATAGAAGCATTAGTATTACAGAAAGAAAACACATTACAGTGTTTTTCTCTTTTGGATTTTTTAATTTTTTTTCAGTAAGATGTGAGACTTTTAGCAAAGGGAAAATATGAACCTTGATTTTATATTAAATAATTTCTTTCTTGCCAGAATTTCATTGTTCAAAACTAACAGAACTCTGATCTCAGAGCTTTGTTAGAAGGATTGTGGATGACTGACAGTGGATGCCATAGACTACGGCAAGTACAGTCACACAAGAAAAATCAAGAATTATAATCATACGTTTCCAGGGTACATTTTTGTTCAGATTAGTAAATTCTAGGATTGGATCTAGTAAATTCTTTCTTACGAAGCTATCACAGAGAATAAAAACACATTAATAAATGCATGTAACAATTGGGCAGTAGGAAGAATTTTTAGGGTATAGTAAGGATTTATTTTTATTTTTATGAGCATTGGAAGACAGTGTCTTCTCCTTATGTAGTCAGTAAAGTAATCTGGCTGAGGTTTCTCTGTCATCATCCTAAGGTGTTTTCATTTTATTTTTACATGAGAAAACACTTCTCTCTCGCTAGCTCGCTCTCTCTCGCTAGCTCGCTCTCTTTCGCTCGCTCGCTCGCTCGCTCGCTTTTATTTTTTATTTTTTATTTTTATTTTTTAGCAGGTTCGGGCCATCCAAATAAGCAGCATTCAGGAGCAGCCAAAACGCAAAAGGAGGGAGAAGATGTTCCTTCATATAGCCGGCGGTACAATCAGAGCATGGTGACTGCTGAACTTCAGCGGCTCGCTGAGAAGCAGGCGGCGCGGCAGTACTCGCCCTCCACTCACATCAGCCTCCTCACCCAGCAGGTATGCACGGTTTGGGGTGCCAGAGGGCTCTTTGGAGCTGACACAGGAGTAACAGGGTGCTCTGTCCTTACTATTTCTATATACTGATGCCAGTTGAATGAGTATTAGCTGGTTTTGAACCGAAGAGTTCTTCAACTTGAAAGAAAATGAGTTTCTGTTACAGTTATTGCAAATTCAAGTTGCAACTGATGTTACTGTACTTAATTCACGGATCTTTAAAAATAAATTTTATAGGATCTTTTAAAATAACTTCTTAATTTGGTAACATTTTCTAGTCTTATAAATCTTTTTGCCAGAATGCCATAACGTTACCTTTTACTTTTCTTTTTTTATTGTACCATCTTTCACCTTGTGATCTCAGATGTTTTATGGGTTCTGATTAATGAAGTAGTTCAGTACACTCTTCTCCAACACATGTTACTCTCCCCATTTCACAGGCGGGGGAAACTGATGCTGAAAGAAATGATGTAGTGAAGGTCATCTGGAAAGCTGGCTGGCTGGAAATAGATACCAGGGTTTTGGCTTTAAGTTAGATAGATAATAACAAGCTTACAGTACAAGAAGATTAGGTGAAACTTTCAAGAACTTTGCGATTCTTTTTCCCCCTCCTCGCTGTGGCATTTAACTGAAAGTAGCACCCATATCTTCCTCTTTTCCTTAAAAAGCAAAATGGCATCAAAGTCCTCCAAAAAAAATGATCATAACTTAACCCCACAGTTATATTTTCCACTAACTCTGTTGTGTCAAACTCCTTAAATGGTGGCAACTCTGTAATGATATCAAGTCTAGAAAACATGAAGCTGTACTTTAAGTACATATTCAATGTAGGCAACACACTGCTCCCTGGTGGTACCCTACTTTTCTGTATAAAATTTAGGACCAAAATGAAAGGTAAGCCTTAGCTGTACTTCAGCGTCACCCCAGTGTGGGAGGATGTAATTGGTTCTCTTTTTCAAATCTCTAATAGTTTGAAGGAAGGAAGAGGAAGAGACCCAAGGTGAAACAGAAAGTAAGGACTCTTATAAGGGCAATGTTGAGAACTGAAGGGAGTTAGTTAGATTCTAGTGATAGGACAATGGGCAGAGGGAATAGAATATCACACCCATAGTAGAATGGGAAGGAGTTTTGAAATGTGAGTGGCTATGAGGAAGGGAGAAAGGGGCCAGTAATCTGCTACACATCTTTTTATTGGCTCATTGACTAGAATATGTTTCCAATTTACAAATGAGCAACTAGAAGCACCAAAGCATTAAAATTTTTTCTTTGCAACTGTAGTAAAGAAACATAGCCAACTTTGGCATTTACATATTTTCCACTTGTGTCATTTGGTGGATTGCAAGTCTTACAGAATGACAGGATCCTCATCTTGTGGGAGTCTTAGGTGAGGGTATTATAATTAGAAAGTTGTCTTTCACCTGTCCTTCTTCCTCAGCTAAGAATTTCAGTGCCAGTGAAGTCCATCTGAGTCCTCTTCGTAGGGCTCTGAACTTGCCATTAGATGTCAGTCTCAGCGTTTGGAGTCTTGGTGATAGTCTGGTTAGAGCTTGGAACAGCTCTGAGGAAGGTGCTGTAGTATCCAATACGCAGGGTGGAGTGGTGGGAATAGAGTTGTATTGGCCATCTACAGACCTGCCTTCTGTCACTGACTAGCTGTGTGATTTTGGAAAATTAACTCAACTTCTCTCAACTTCAGGTTCTTTGTTGTTGGGGAAAATACAACAGCACCATTTTCTGGATAATCATTTTATTTTGTCCACAGTTTCAATTATTTAGCCCATTGAAGTTTTTAGTGGCAGTCCTGGCTGGGTGGCTCAATCATTTGGAGTGTTGTCCTGTACACCAAAAGGTTATGAGTACGATTCCCAGTCGAGGCACATGCCTGGGTTGTGGGTTCAGTCCCCAGTTGGGGCAGGAGGCAACCAATGTTCCTTTCTCACATTGATGTTTCTCTCTCCCTCTTTCTCTAAAATCAATAAAAATATCCTTGGGTGAGGATAAAAAAAAAAAAAAAGGTTTTAGTGGCATTCTCCATAAAATTTTTTTATTCAGATGTGTTTTTTAAATTTATTCATTCAAAAACATTTTATTAAGTTCTTAAGAGTGTTCCAGGCTTGGCACCAATCTGTGGGGATGATAGAAGACAGTCCTCAGCATGAACTAACTCATAATCTGGTTAGTGGTGTTGGAGGACAAGGAGCCAGCAGGGACCAGCGAGTATGGAAGCTGGACGGGAAGACAAGGGCTGATTCACGGAGAGCTTTGAATGCCCCTTGCAGGAGCTCACTCTTCATTTCAGAGTTGACTGGGAGCCATAGAGACCATTAGCTGGAGCCCTCAAGCAGCTGGGAGGAGGATGGATGAGGCATTGTCACCTCTTTCCCTGCTCACTGGTGAAGATGCAGAGGAAGAGTAAACTAGCCAAAAGTAAAGAAGCAAAGTACTCTGACAACCCAAGTTATCCAGAATTTACGTTAAAGGCTAGTTCTCAGGAATCTATATAAAAACAACCTCATTTACCTTGTCATTGCTTTTACTACTTCTGCTATGACAACTTTGTTTATGGCCAAGAACACATGAGAATATCAAACTTGCCTGACCCCAAGGAGTAGCCACAGTGACCACTTTAGAAATATTTGTGCCAGCTCAAGTATGCTTGAAGTTAGAAGAGATACATGTTCTTTGTTTTGTTTTGTTTTTGTTAATCCTTACTCAAGGATGTTTTTCCATGGTTTTTAGAGAGAGTGGAAGGGAGGGGGAGAGACAGAAAGAGAGAATCATCAATGTGAGAGAGAGACATCAATTGGTGGCCTCCCACCCGTGCCCAACCAGGGCCAAAGGTCCAGCCTGTAACGGAGGTATATGCCCTTGGAAGGTACATGCCTTTGACCAGAATTGAACCTGGGGCCCTTCAGTCAGCAGATTGATGCTCTGTCCATTGAGCCAAACCAGCTAGGGCCAGATACATATTCTCAACATACGATTATTCAATAAATACCTTCTACATCTGAATGGAAGGCAGATCACATTGAGGTCTTTCCTGTGTCATGTGAGAGGCTGGTTATCTTGGGAGGATGGGAGCCTCTGGAAAGCAATGTGTACTCCCTGACAGCAGTTTTCCACTAGCATCTCTCACCTGTGGTGGGGGAGCACTGCAGTAGCTGGCAGGGTGCTGGGGTGGAGCTGAGTGTGAGGTCTCACTATCTCTGCCTCACTCAGTGCTAAGAGAGGCGTGTGTGTTTTTATAACTGTAGCGCTCTGCACAGAAGCAGCCCGCTGTGGTCACTGCCCTGAGTTCACAAAAGAATGTGGCGAATCAGCCCAGCTCTGTGGTGAGGAGGGGAGGCAGGGAATCAGAGGGAGCAGTGGCCCTCTCTGTGCGGCGGGCGCGTGTGAGATTTCAGGACCCAGCTATCATTAGGAGCAGCTCCAGCTCTTCCCGCCTGGAGGCTTAATCAAAGGGATAACAGCAGACCACCCAGGCGAGGGCTCCGTCAGTCTCTGTTCCCCAGCCAGCCAGTGCCCGGGATGTGGCCAGGCCTCCTGGAAATGTGCTGACTGACACATAGGAGGGAGGAGGCACGTTTTGCTTCTCACATTTTTCATTTGGATGGAGAGTAAAAAAGAAAACCACTTAATTTCATTTTTTTGCTCCTTGCCCTGATACTTCCCTGACTGGTCCTGGAGAAGGATATATGCTTAGGTATAGAATTTTTATATGCTTAGATATGGAATCCTTGGTTCACACCAGTCCTCATTCACTCTCACTCATTCATATGCATTCAGAGAATTCACAGAGGAATTTGTTTTTTCATTTCTTTTGCTGTAGCAGCTACCATTGTAGTCTTGCTGACTTATTCATGGTCCACAGTAGACTTTGAATCTCGATTTCACAGATTCCAATTTGAAAGTGAAATTGGCAGAGAGGAGCCAAATGACTTGCCTGGTTACAAATGTCCTTTAGATCGAGACAGGTGACACTCAGTTTACCACCAGCATACTTCCTTCCTGTCTCCTTAGCTCATCTGGACACACTTGAGCACCTGCACACTGTGTTCGGATTTTGTGTTTGTTGTCTCAGCCTAACTCCTTTGGTTCTACAGTATATGCTTTTGGTACTTCTTTGTATCATATACTTACTCTTCATTCCTAGAAACGAAAAAGCAGACACTCTTGAGTCAGTGAGACTTGGACAAGTTACTTAGCCTCCTCGTGCCTTGACTTCCTTATTGGTAAGATAGAATAATTTCAGTATCAGGACCACTCTTTTTGGATCCCTATGCCTCCGCTCTAAGACCTAGTTCCCGTTGATCTCATCTATTGTAATTCCTACATCTTCTGTGTCTCTCAAGGCTTTAAGCCCCCAATTTTTCTTAATTCCTTGGCCTACTGCGAGGTCTTTTGTTCTAAAATAACCTTTCTTTTGCCGTCCACCCCCTCAAGCTCTTGTCATCTCCGAACTGCCAGATTCCTTTTGAAGGAACACCCCCTGCTGCCCTCAGTCCTCCCCACCCCTTACTCTTGCAGTCTAACTTCATCTCTGACCATCTTGCCGAACGCTCTCTCACTGGTCACTGATGAACTTGAAATTGCCAGCTTGGTCACCTGTTTATAATTCTCATTCTCCTTTAGCGTGTGGCACTATGATTGACCACCTTCTACCTGAAACTTCCCTTAGCATCTTCAACTCTTTAATAATTCTTTTGAGAGCTCTTTTCTTCCTACTGGAAAGATTATGTTTTTAAGCCACTGGTATATGGACCTCAGTTATGAGAATAGGCTCTGGGGAATCTCTGGGTCAACAGCAGAGTCTCTGATGGAAGAGGTTGGTGATGCCTGGGCATCTACCTCTCTCTGCCCTTCACTGCATCCTCCAGATATCTCTTGGTTCCAGGCACAGCAGAACTGTTTCTTCTCTCTGAAGTGTATCTTCTCATAGCTCCACCTGGTACTGTTCTGTGCATTTCTCCCAAATATGTATCTTTTAGTGTGAACCTCTTTGC